TCACATATGACACTACACAAGCACAGCTCAATCTAAATGCCAGATGTCAATTTGTTCTTATTATGTAAGACGAGAGGTATTAAATAGATAGCTCCCTGAATAGAGGTGGTCAGGCTAAGGTAGGATAGAAGAAATATAGGTAGAAAGAATATAAGGAAAATCATAATTAAAAATTGTACCTTTAGCCAGGTATGATGGAGCACACCTGTAATCCCAGCACTCCAGGGGCTGAGGCCAGCCGGGGCTACCCAGTGAGCTCAAGGACACTTGGACTACATAGTGAGACCCTGCCTCAAAAATAAATAAATAATAGCCCCCTGAATAAATGGTGCAAGGAAAACTGGGTTTCCACATGCCAAAGATTAAACCTAGTCTCAAAGATCTAAACATTAAAACAAGAACATTAAATCTACTGGAAGACAGAATAGGTAAAACCCTTGAAGACATTGGTGTAGGCAAAAATTTTATGAACAAAACCCCGTTCAGAGGAATTATCACAACAACTAGAGCCTCATCTTATTAAAAAGCTTTTGTACTACAAAAGAAACCACTGAGTGAACTAGGGATTTAGCTCAGTGGCCTAAGCACCTGCCTGGCAAGTGCAAGGTTGTGAGTCTGTTCCCTGGTACCAAAAAAAAAAAAAAAAAGAAAAAGAAACCACTGAGTGAAGAGACAATCCACAGTGAGGGGAAAAAATTTTTGCCAGCTGTTCCTCAAATAAAGGATTACAATGTAGAACATACAAAGAGCTCAAAAAAAATCAGATTCCAGGGCTGGGGATTTAGCTCAGTGGCATAAGTGTCTGCCTGTCATGCACAAGGTCATGAGTTCAATCCCTGATACCAAAAAAAAAAAAAAAAAAAAAAAAAAAATTAAAGACCCAATCTAAAAATGGGCATCTAGAGGGCTGGGGATTTAGCTCAGCGGCATAAGCACCTGCCTTGCAAGCAGGCGGTCATGAGTTTGATCCCCAGTACCGATAAAAAAAATAAAATAAAAATAAAAATGGGCATCTGACATGAATACACACATCTCAGATGAAAAACTACAAACAGCAAATAAATATATAACTAAATGTTCAACATCACTGGTCATTGAAAAGACAGAAATTAAAACAATGCTGAGATCCCATTTCACCCCAGAAAAAAATGGTTATTAATAAGGCATCTATCAAAATAAATAAATAAAAAAGAGAGCCAGGGGTATAGCTCAGTGGCGTAAGTACCTGCCTGGTAAGCACAAGGTCCTGAGTTCAATTCCTGATACCACACAAAAAAAGAAAGAAATCAATTAATAACAAATGCTGGAGAGGCTGTGGGGAAAAACAACCCTTCTCCACTGTTGATGGGAATGCGGACTGGTGTAACCACTGCGGAAATTCCTCAAAAAACTAGGACTAGGCCCGGAGATACAGTTCAGTGGCATAACATTTGCCTGGCAAATGTGAGGTCCTGAGTTTGAGTCCCAGGACAAAAAAAAAAAAATACCTGGGCATGGTGGCTCATGCCTATAATCCCAGCACTTGGGAGACTGAGGCAGGAAGATCACTGCGAGTTCAAGACCAGCCTAGGCTACAAAGCGAGCTCATGGCCAGCCTGAACTCTGCATAGAGAGACCCTGTCTCAAAAGGAAAAAAAAAAAACAAAAAACAAAAACTAGGACTAGAGGGCTCATTTGATCCAGCCATTCCCCTTTCTGGTGTCTTTCTGGAAAAACTGAAACCATCACACCACAGTGATACATGCACACCCATGTTTAAAGTGCCACAGTTTGCAATAGCCAAATCTTAGAAACAACCCAAATGTCCATCAACTGGTAAGCACAAGGTCCTGAGTTCAATTCCTGATACCACACAAAAAAAGAAAGAAATCAATTAATAACAAATTCTGGAGAGGCTGTGGGGAAAAATAACCCTTCTCCACTGTTGATGGGATAAAGAAGATGTGATTTTTTTGTATACAGTGCAGTACTATTCTGCCACAAAGAAAAATAAGCTTGAGATATTTCTAGGTAATGGATGCACCTTGAGACCATACTCCTCAGTGAAATAAACCGGGTATTCGTGTAAATACCGCATCCTTTCTCTGGTGTGAGGAACCAGAAATGTAAGTAAGAATCATAGTGTATAATAGATACTGTGAAATAGGAAGAAAATGTTCAAATGGAGAGGAACAAGGGAGGGAGGAGGAAAAGAAAGAAGTGGAAAGTAAAAATAAATGAGAAAAGAAGGAAAACATGGAAACAAAACTTTAGTAAATGGGGAGAGATGTCACATCCATCAAAGCTCTTGAAGCTGGGAGTGGGGCAGACAGAGAGATTAAAGAAATAAAAATAAAGTAAGACATTATACAGAAAGCTGAGGTCAGGTGGAGCACTGTTTCGCTAAGAGGAAGAAGAACTGCTCAACCACCCCAACAGGGCCCGAATTACATAGTAAGACTCTGTCTCAAAAAGACAAAAACAAAAACAAAAACCTACAATAAAGCTATAATAATCAAAAGAATATCATACAGACCAGGAGGTAGCCAAGAAAATGGGAAGCAAGAAGGGAAGGTTCACCTTGGAGCCTGCTTAGGAGGTAGAGCCACCTTCTTTTTTTTTAAGTTTTTTTTTTTTTTTTTTGTCTTTTTCATTTTTATCGGTACTGGGGATCGAATTCACGACCGCCTGCTTGCAAGACAGGTGCTTATGCCGCTGAGCTAAATCCCCAACCCCAAGAGCCACCTTCTGAGTTAAGCGCAGACCACAGTATGCGTGTCTAAATACAACCCAAGAAAGAAACTGAGTAACCCAGTTTATCCACCTAACTCTCAGCACATGCACGTGCACAGAGGTCTTCTTCCTTGTCCAACCGCAGGCACAATTACCATATCATAGCTTCTGCAGATTTAACTCCCTTGGCCTTTGATGCCATGACAATTCCTTCAAGGGTCATAAAAGGTCAAAACCTCCATTGCCCAACAGAGGGGTCAACTCAATCTGCTCATCAGCAGGAGTCAAACCTCAAACCAACCCCTCAATCCTACCGCAAATCCTAATCCTCAAAACCCTCACCACCAAGCCCCCTCAGGGCCAGGACCTCTTCTCACTGGCCTGTTCCCACCCCAAAGTGGAGTGCACTTTCAGTTTCAAATAAATCTTATCTTGCTGCTCCTTTTGGGTGTCCAACTCAATTTTTTGTTCAAGACTCCAAGACCCTGGCAAGACCCCCGATCTGAAAACAAAGACTGTATAATACTGGCAAAAGGACAGATGTATAACTAATGGAATCAAATCAGAATACATCTGCAGTCAATTGATTTTTTTTTTTTTTTTTTGGTACCAGAAATCAAACTCAGGACCTTGTGCTTGCCAAGCAGGCACTATGCCACTGAGCTACATCCCTGGTCCAGTCAGTTTTTTTTTTTTGTTTGTTTGTTTTTTTTTGGTGCCTTTTTGAAACAAGGTCTGGCTGTGCAGTTCAGGCTGGCTTTGAGCTCACTTTGTACTCAGAACAGCCCTGGAACATCCGAGAAATTTCTGTGCTCAAAGGAATAAAAGTAACTCCTCACACTGTTTCCACAGACCATGGGTGATTGAACCCAGGATTTTTGTGCTGGGTTTTTTTTCAGCTTCTCATTTTTTATTTTGAGATAAGTCTTGTTAAGTCGCCCAGGCTCAGCTCAGACATACCATTTTCCTGCCTCAGCCTCCCAGTATTGGCATTACAGGCACGCAACACCGTGCTCCACCTAGGAGGGCTGTTTAGAGAGCTGAAGTCATCAGGGATCTTCAACAGCTGAAATTCGTTCAAAAGAAGAGTTGTCTTTACCAGGGAAGCAATGGCAGGGGCCTGTGATGAGTCCCTAAGTAAAAATGAGCCCTTGCACTAATTGTCAAACAATAAAAAAATCATGATTTAGGCAAATCAAAAATTTGAAATTATCTGTGCTATTATAAGGCATACTACTGCAACAATGTTGTGAATGTTCAACTGTCAAAAAAAAACTTAGCTGGGCTCAAGATGTATCTCAGTAGTTCAGTGGTTAAGTGCCTGCCTGGCACACACAAGGCCTTGAGATCAATTTTCAGCTACAAATCTAGAATAAGGTAATAAAAAGGATGACTCCGAAAAGAAAAAGATTAATGGGCGTTGAGAGAGAGGCAGTAGCAGATCAGAGGATAACATCTTGACCAGGAGATCTACAACAGTCTCACTGGTTAGACAGAAACGGGCCTCCGTTTAACACGGGTAGGCAAGGTAAAGATGGGGGCGAGAGGGGAGCAGGTTGAAAGGGAGGAGGAAGAACCGGTCGGACAGTGCATCGGAGTTTTCTTCACGCCCAAGTCAACCTACTCAGGAGTGGTGGTAGAAGAAATTGCTTTCTACCTTCAGCCTGCGGTGGGTCAGGGTTTTAAGAGCATGGGGGAGACGCCCAATGGAGGTCAGGAGGAGTGGTGACCCATGCCTGTAATCCCAGCACTCCAGGAGGCTGAGGCTGAAAGGCTGCAGCAAGTTCCAGCCAGGCTTGGGCAATTCAGTTACTACCAAAAAAAAAAAAAAAAAAAAAAAAAAAAAAGGGATGGCAATCCTTGTGAAGTCGCTGGGTTCAATCCCCAGTACCAGAATAAAAAAATTTTAAAAAAGGAATTTGTAGGGTCAATGTCTGATCTCGTCAGAGGCGGTATCCGAACAAGGGGGTCCTCGATTAAAGCCGGTCAGGAGCGCAGAGGGTGGGGTAATGGCTTAACCGTCACTCTCCGGATGACAGCGTCACGAGGCAGGTCTCTCCCAGGATTCGGCCGGAGGCTGCAGACGTGGAAAGGTAAGGACGTCGACCCTTGAGTTCTCGGGTGACCCCACACTTAGCTCCCGGCGTTTCTCGCGCCATTGGCGTAGGTTACCGGCGGGTGCGCCTGCGGGACAAAGTGCGGCCGCCATGAGCACGCCACTCTAGGCCCGAGGCCCCGCCCCCAGCAGGCCGGGTCCCGCCCCCGGCTCGCCCCGCCCCGCCCCCGTGCGCACCCGCGCCCGCGCCCTGAGGAGACCGCGGTAGGGGCGCCGGGTCTCAGCGGCGACGGCGCAGCCCGAGGGTGGCGGCGCGCCGGCTTGGGGAGTCCCGCCGAGCGGCGGCGACTGTGCCCGCAGGCCCTGAGCGACTGGAGGACGTGGCGGCCGGGCCGTGCCCACGCGTAAGTCCTGGGGGTTGGCTGGGGCGGGCGTCTGTCCGCGAGGCCTGGGTCATCGGCTCCGGCCGCGGTGCGTGGCCATCGGGCGCGGCGGGCCCGGCTGCCGGCTGCCGGCTCCGGTGCCCTGGGCGGCGCTAGGAACTTGGGGCGGGCTGCCATCCAGAACCTTTCGGGAGGGCGCGGTGCCGGGGCGGTTCCGCGCCCCCTGCCCGCGGCGCCGGGCGGGCTGCTGGCGTTCGCGGTGTGCCTGGCGCTTTCTGCTCCTGCGGGACGGTGGCTTTTCGCTGGCGGTGATGAAGGAGGCTGTCCTTCGAGCAGGGAAGCCTGGCGGCCGGCTCGGGCTCGCTTGTGCGTAACTTGAGATGATGCGAAATAAACATGGGACACTGCTGGTCCGTGCTGGTGTTAACGCAGGAAAGCGCTGCGTGGTGGTGGTGTAACGTGTAGCCCGCTCAAGGTGGTTGGTTTTCGTAAGGGTCTTTACACGGTAATGTAGAAACTTGTGGAAGCAGTGTTTGTCTAAATGCCTACCATTTTTGCAGAATGCTAAAAAGTTAGTACTAGGCAGCAGTGGACTCTAAAAATAACCCGAATTGCCTGCACAAGGAAGGAAGTGATTAGGTAGGTACATTATACAATAATATTTTGAGTTTTTTTTTTTGTACCGACGATCTAACTCACGACCTAGAGCTTGCCAGGCAGATGCTTACGCCACTGAGCTAAATCCCTGGCCCCTCACTATAGAATAATAACAGGCAAAGTGCAGTAGTACCAACAGTTACTATTTGCTGCGCACTTGTAGCTGCGCACTCTGCTGTGTGACTTTTGTTAATTTGAGTCTTGCTGTGTAGTCCAGCTAGGCCTCGAACTGTTGGTCCTTCTTCAGCCTCCTGAGTGCCATCAAAAAGGTCCTAAGTATATTCATAGTTTCCTTAATAACAAAGTTAATTACCCAATATCTTAATTTTTTTTTGAGACAGAGTCTCACTCTGTAGTTAAGGCTGGCCTAGAACTTGTAGTAATCCTCCAGCCTCAGCCTCCCGAGGGCTGGGATTATGGGCATGATCTGCCATACCTGGCAGGTGGGACCCAGACAGGTCCCCTCATTATCTTCCTCCTCCTCTCCTCTACCACATTCTTTGGGGAGGGTTGGGGGGCTACTGATAATGACTAAGTCCTTTTTTTTCCATGGTGGGTACTGGGGACTGAACTCATGATCTTGCGCTTGCCAGTGCTGTGCCACTGAGCTATACTCCTGACCCCACAGTCTCTTTTATTTGTTTTGTTTTGTTTTTTGAGACAGTGCCTCTCTATGTAGTTCAGGCGGGTCTTGAATTCACTTAAGTAGTCCAGGCTGGCCTTGAACTTGCAGCAGTTCTCCTGCCTAAGCCTCTCGAGTGCTGGAATTACAGGTGTGTGCCACCACAGTCGGCTTCTGAATGATTACTGTTACTCAGAATTTTAGTATCATATACTGATTGTTAAGGATATGATGGTGGCGTTTATAGACTGTGCCTTTGGACTGTACAGTGTCAGGGCAAAACAGATATTAAGTAATCACAAATAAATGGCAGTAAGCTAAGATTAAAGCTAAAAAAGACCGTCTGAGAGAGTAATAGGGGAACTTACCACCAGATGGGGAAATCAGATGAGGTTTTCTTGGAAGGTAATCTTTAAGTGGAGTTTTATGGCTAGATAGGTAAGAGACGAGTTAAGAAGTTTGGCTCCTAAAGGAGAGAAGAGTCCAGGCAAAGGAAGTAGATTCCCCAGAGGCTGGGAAGATGGCCATTTTAGGGATTTAAAGGGTCACAGCAGCTGGAGCATGAAAAGCAAAAGGCATGTATGATAAAGTAGGTCAGGACCTGATGAGGGTGCAGGCAGGCTTTTTAAGCAGTGTTAAGGATTTGGGACCCGCTTCCTCCCCTCAGCCTGGCCTCTAGCCCATACCTCAGCCTCCCACCTGAGCCACTGCACCCCTGCTGTGCAGAAGTTGAGACAGGATGATCTCATTATGTAGCCCAAGCTCACCTGGAACTCACTGGATCCTCCTGTTTTAACCTCCCAAATACTGAGATTACAGGCATGTCTCACATCTGTTACAGTTTTTAAAATCAAATTCTGGAGCTAGGCATGGTGAGGCATGCCTGTAATCCCAGCACTCTGGAAACTGAGACAGGAGGATCACTTTGCCTGCAAGGCCAGCCTATGTTACATAAGGAGACCATGTCTCAAAAATTTTTTTTGTGTATGTTAAAAAGACTGTGTTCCAGGCAATCTAAATTTTTTTTTCAGGTAGTTGAAATTTATTTGACTGAATTTTCCTTTTAGTGGCTATGTTACACAAAGCTCAGTCTTTTCTGTCTTCTGACTGTATCGATAGAGTTGTTGGGTGTATGTGGGATGATATTTGATAAGGTAATTGAGATATAAATGCACGATGAAAGAAAAAAGTGAAAGAAGTTTGTTGTTTAGAACAGGTATTTGTCAGATGGCTTTTATTTGCTGCAGTATGGTACATTAGGTTTGTCCGTGTCATATGACTAATGCATTTATAAACGCGCATTCAGTTGCTGGAAGTAAATTTTACTCTTTGCACATGGCTTTTATGATAGAAATGCTTAAAATAATGATAACCATGCCTGCATGTTACAATTAATTTTTTTCATAATTCTGTGCTATGTTCGTGATTAGTAATTCAATATATTTTTCTCAATCTGTGAACTCTCTAATAGACTGTCATACTGACACATACATCATTAGTTCTAAACTAGTTCTTTGTAAGCTGGGTGTGATGGCTCATGCCTGTAATCCCAGCACTCAGGAAGCTGAGGCAGGAGGATCATTTCGAGTTCGAGATCTGCCTGGGCTACAAAGTGAGCTAAAGGCCTACCAGGACTGCATAGAGAGACTCTGTCTCAAAAACAACAACAACAGCAACAACAACAACAACAACAAAACTAGTTCTTTGCATACAGTGTAAGGAAGTTTACTAAGTATACAAATGTCTTTAAAAGTTTAATTAGTAAAGTCCAAAGTAAAATTTCATAGCCATGTCAAAATTACGACCTTTTTTGTGGTGCTGGGGGTCAAACCCAGGGCTTTGCACATGTCAGGATAGAGCTCTACCACTAAGTCCCTAAAATTATGACTTTTGGGATTTTCTCAAGATGCAGCTGAGCGTGGTGACACATGCCTGTAAGCCCAGCAATCTCAAAGGCTGAGGCAGGAGGATTGCAAAGGTTTTTTTTTGTGTGGGGAAGGTTTTGTTTGTGTTTTGGTTTTTTGAGTCAGGCTGGCCTTGAATTCACGGTGTAGCCCAGGCTGGCCTTGAACTCATGGCAATCCTCCAGCCTCTGCTTCCCAAGTGCTGTGATTATAGGGCCCCGGCCTGAAGGTGTTTCTTACTGATCATCACAATGGACTGTATGACTATGTTCTCAGTATTCCCTTCAGTCCTCGAGGCAGCCCAGTGAGGAGGATAATTATCTCCATGTTGTGGGACTCAGAGAAGTTAAATACCATATGCCAAGTCACTCGGCTCAGAAGTGGTATGACTAACATTCCAGGACACATCAATTTGAATTCAAAGTCCATTCTGTCTTCCTTCTTTTTTATTGTCATAAAATATAAAAGCAGTTTATCAGCTTAAAGGATAAACGGATAAAAAATTATTAGCAATTTGCTATTAAAGAGAAATAGTACAATCCTTTAAGGATGACTCCTTCTCTTGCATTTGCTACACACTGTAGAAATGGGTAAGTCATGGTACATGTCCCTACAGATCTTAGGTCCAGTACAAAGAAAAAAGAAACAATGATCAGTCAAGTGTGGTGGCTCACACCTGAAACTCCAGGGCTTGGGAGGTTTGGGCAGAAAGATTGCTGCAAGTTGGAGACCAACCTGGACCTCAGTGTTTTCTTTCTCTTTTTCTCTTTTTTGTTTTTGCACTGGGGATTGAATTTATGACCTCGAGCTTGCCAGGCAAGCACTTGCACCACCAAGCTACATCCCTGGCCCTTGTTTTGGTTTTTGAGAGAGGATCTCCCTATATAGGTCAGGCTGTCATTGAACGCACCGTATAACCTCGGCCAGCCTCAAACTTGCTGCAGTTGCCCTGCCTCAGCCTCCTGAGAGCTGGGGTTACAGACATGTGCCACCACACCTGGCTACATACCTGGCTGCGTAGTGAGTTTGGCCAGCCTCAACGAGACCCTGTCCCCCCCCCATTAATAAATGATGTAAAAATATGATTTTATGTCCAAAATTTAAATTATTGAGAGAATATTAATAAAGATTAAATATTTCATCTGTTATTATGGAAATTGATTTTTTTCCTCCCAATATTGGGGCTCTAAACCAGGGTTGCTGTACTACTGAGGTACATCCTCAGCTGTGTTTTCGTCTCTTGTCTTTTTTTTTTGGAGATAGTCTGGCTATGTAGTAAGCAGCTGGCCCTAGAACTTGCTTCTGTAGCCCAAGCTGACCTCACAGGAGTCCTGCCTCAGCCTCCCATGTGCTGTGATTATAGGCATGTGGCCCCATGCCTGGACAAGCCCTTTTTTATGGTTTATTTTGAGACAGTATCATTAAATTGCCCAGGACAACTTTGAACTTGTGATCTTCCTATCTCAACCTCTGAAGTAGCTATACTATACTACCACTGAGGTGGGAAATGGGTCTTGATCTAGGATTTGAAAGATACTTAGAATTCACTAGGTAAAAGGATGAATAAAATAAAAAGCAAGAAGTGAACCTTTTGTATTTGAGACAGTAAAAATCATATTTAAGAAAAACTTTAGAAAAAACTTTGGAGTTTACAAATTGTATATATTTGTGGAGTACAGTACCATGTTTTGATACATTCTGCATTTTTTGAGTGATCAAATAAGACTGAGTCACATATCCATAATTTCCAAATGATTATTATATCTTTGTGGTAAGAATACTTAAAATCTATTTTGAAATAGGCAATGTACTGTTAATTGTAGGAGATTATTTTGAATTAGTTGAAAATGTTGGAAAATGTTAAGTAAAGGAAGCAACCCCATCAGAATGCAGTGTCCATAAGTAGCATTTTTTCTTTTTTTTGGTCCGTTTTGCCGAGTTTGTATCCCAAACACTTAGAATCCTGTCTGTATAATATCAGGTGCTGCGTTAATACACGTTTTTTGTTTGTTTGTTTATGGAGGTCGGGGTTGTTCATGATTTTTGTTTTGGGGGGTTTTTTGGGTACCGGAGTTGTTTTTGTTTTTTGAGACAAGGTCTCACTATGTAGTCCAGGCTGGCCTTAAATTCACTGTGTATCCCTGACTGGCCTCAAATTTGTGAAGATCCTCTTGCCCCATGCCTCAGCCTTCCAAGTGCTGGGATTACAGGCATGTCCTACCATGCATGGCAAAGAAGTTTTTTTGAGAAAGTCTCACTGTGTGGTTCAGGCTGTCCCCAACTTACAGAGAGCCTCCTGCCTCAGCCTCCTGAGTGCTAGGATTAAAGGCATGCACCACCACACGATTTATAATTTTTTTTCAAGATAATGTCTTGCTTTGGAGTTAGGTGTACAATTCTGCATCACCGTTTTGGATGCTGATATTGCAGACATATGTCAGCACACCTGGCAACTATCCTACTTTCATTCCTTGAAATCTTTATGCAACATTTCAGTGTAGATTTCATGTTTTCTACTTTAATCTGTGTTTGATGTGTCTGGTTCCAGTATTTATGAAGGGAGGTTGGTTGGTTTGTTATGTCAGGAATTGAACTCAGTCTTGAGCGTGCTAGACAGGCCCCCTTGCCACTGAGCTATGTCTCCTCTACACTGTAACTGTTTTATGGCCGTTGTTTCTATCTCATCTATGCCCAGTTTTCCTGGCTCAGAATCCCCAGATCTAAAAATTTTGTCAGTATTTTCTTCCTCTGTTAAGCTGTAGTCCATAATAACTAGTACAGTGGTAACAAGCCTGTGTAACAGGCTGTGTGTACATTGAAAGACCTGAAAGGTTCGCCATCACTGAATGGGATATATGGATATAAGGAACAACACCTGGCAACAGAGACAGACTGTGACTTAGTCTCTAGCTAAGGGGCTATGACTGCAGGCACCGCTGTGTAGGCACAGGAAGCTGGGACAGAGGTCAGGGCTTAGAACATGCAGGTTGCTGGCTGTGAAAAGCCACACCTTGATCCTCAGTGTCTTAATTAAAACCACCTGCCGATACTTGGCAGTGAGAGAGAGCAGTACACTGTTGCTAGTGTCCACTGTCTGGGCTTCATCGCTTTCAGATGGATGTGCATATCTTGTATCACTGAGCAGATCTGCCTTCTACTTAGATCTGCTTGAAATTTGCTTTTCTCAGCTCTCCCCCCACCCCCCCAGTACTGGGGATCAAACCCAGGACCCTGTACATTCAAGCAGACCAAGTACATTGCTACTGAGGTGTATTCCCAGCTTTCCTTCTGTATTTCTTTTATTTAATTTTAATTTTAATTTTATTTTAGAGAAGGACTTGCTACGTTGCCCAGGCTGGCTTTAAATTTGGGATCTTCCTATTTTAGTCACTCAGATAGCTTGAATTGTAGGCGTGTTTTACCATGTCAGCTTAAAAGTTTAATTTCAAAATGTTAGAAAGTCATTGCCTTTTTAAAATTCAGTTTAGTTGTGTTGTCCTCAGTTTAGTAACCCCCAGATTAGATAGAACACACAGAATTATTTTGTCACTTGAGTTTCAATAATTGATTAATTTGTATAACAGGCTGTTCATAAATATTGCCTATTTGACTTCTTAAAGCAATTCCAAGTACCACTAAAATGTTCTCTGCTCACATTGTCGTTAAGCTATGAATCAACCAGATGTCTTATGAAGCTTTTAAAACTGTCCTTTTTGCAAATTTATCTTTATTTTAGACATAATAAATATTCTCAATTTGTCACATTAAATTTAAAGTCATAGTACTGCTCACAGCTTCACATTATAATTTAGAGAGTAAGAACATCAATTTTACCAAGGATCTTAATTTTTTTTTTTTTTGGTACTGGGGATTGAACTCACAACTTTGCGTTTGCCAAGCAGGCACTTACGCCACTGAGCTAAACCTCCAGCCCCGATCTTAAATTATTAAAAGTAATTTTTCTAGTTTGTTTTCCACTCACCACTGAGCTCAAAAAGAGTAGTTTTTACTGGGGATTGAACTCACAACCTTGCACTTGCCAGGTGGGCACTTATGCCACTGAGGTAAATCCCCAGCCTTTTAAAAGGTTAATAAAATGCCAGTATATATATATATATATAAAATGCCAGTACAGTGCTTAAAGTGGGGATATACCTATACATCTGAGACACACAGGCACACACACACACACACACACTGGGATCTAGTCAGTAGCCGTCTGGACTTTGAATCTGTGGGCTTTTGGTCCTCATACCTTGGTCTCCCAAGTAGCTGGAACTACAAGCTCCTCCACACCCCGCCATTATGGTTTTGTGTGGGTTTAATCTCTAGCAGTAGTCACGGTGCATCCTTTGCTGTATCCTAGGGTTTCTCAACCTACATTTCTGATATTTGCACACAGTAATTGCTTGTATGGGCAATAGCACTCTTCCACTTGTGACAACCCAAAGTGTCCCTAGCAGCTGGGGATTTAGCTCGGCAGTACAACGCCTTCCTGACAAGTGCAAGGTTGTAAGTTTGATCCCCAGTACCAAAGAAAGAAAGAAAGAAAGCCCCCAAAATGTCTCTAGTTATTGTCATTAATTGCCATTATGTCCTCTGATGGGCAGTTGCCTCCTGGTTGAGACCAACTGCTTTATCCTTACACCACAGTGTCATAGAAAACAATACTGTTGTTTGTTGTTGTTGTCATTGTTTTATTTGTTTGGGGATACTGCCTCACTATGTAATGTAGTTGGCCTTGAGTTCATTATGTAGCCCAGGTGAACTCCTGGTGAACCTCTTGTGTCAGCCTCCCAAGGGCTAGAATTACAGGTGTCCACCACTGTGCCCAACTGATTACAGTTATTCATATGATTACTTTTTTGTTGTTGTTGTTTTGTTTTGTTTTTTGGTACTAGAGATCAAACTCATGCCCTCACGCTTGCCAGGTAGGCATTTATGCTGCTAAGCTAAATCCCCAGCACTTACATGATTACTGTGAAGGTATTGGAAGTTGTTTTTAGGATTTGGATCTGAAATGTCCCCTCAGCCAGGTGTGGTGGTGCATGCCTGTAATCCTAGCACTCTGAAGGCTGACGTAGGAGAATCACCAGGAGTTTGAGGCCAGCTTACAATACACGGTGAGTTCAAGATAAGCCTGAACTACACAGTGAGACCCTTTCTCAAAAAAAAAAAAGAAAGAAAGAAAAGGTTCATGTGTTTAGAGGTAGGACTTTTGAAAGGGGATTGGAGCGCAAAGGCTCTGACTTCATCTGTGAGTTAACCCACTAATAGAGTCATAACCCAGGGGTATTATTGGGAGATACTAGAAACATAGGAGTGGGGTTGGGTTGAAAGGGGGAGTCAAGGGAGCAAAGTCAGGCATGTCTCTGTTCCCAGCCCCTTCCTTTCAAGCTCTTCCCCTCCCTGCTTCCTGACTGCAGTGAGGTGAGGAGCTTGCCTCCTCTGTGCCCTCTGCTTTGACATTTCTGCCTGGCACACACCCAAGAACAGTAGAGCCAGGAACCGTGGACTGAGACCATGAGCCAAAATGCATCTTTCCTCCTTTAAGCTGCTTTTCTCAGAGTCTTTATCACAGTGATAGTAATTGACCTGTGGATTTTTCCACATAGGTTCATTACAGTAGGATATGCGGATTTTTATGTGTTGTGTTTGTGTGTTTGCAGGGCTGGGGATGGAACTCAGGGTATCATCCATGCTAAGCAAGTGCTCTGCCACTGAGCTGGATCACAGCCCTGAATTACTGTATTTTAGAGTTACATTATATTCAACCAGGTGTGGTGGTGCATCCCTGTAATCCCAGCACTTTGAGAGGCTGTGGCAGGATAGTTGCAAGTTGCAGACTAACCTGGGTGACAGAAAGCTCAAGGCCAGCCTGAACTGCATAGCAAGACCCTGTCTCAAAAAGACAAAAAACTTGAAAAAAAAAAGTTTCTTAATAAAATTTTTTTGTGATTTTGCCAGCAATTCACTAGTTAGTTCAGTTCCATTTGTTTTATTTTTATTTTCAGTATTTAATGATTTTTGTTTTAAAATACATGAAATATTGATATGGTTCCAGATTTCTGTTACAGAAGAAAAATATTCAAGTCACACTCAGTAAGGCACAGTAGGAAAATTCTGTTCTGGGATTGAAGACGTGGCCATCTTGAAGTATTAGAACCTCTCCAAAGCTGTTTTTTGTTATTGCTTATTTTATAGATGAAGGCGACAATTTTGAGTTTGATCACATGTTCCCAAGACCTCCTTAGTGTTGTTAGGTCTAGTATGTTAAAGTATATCAATATGTACGTAGGATTGAAAATTTAAATTGAGAACTTTGGTTTTATTTCTTTTACAGTAACACAAAGAGAATGAAAGAAGTAGATAATCTTGAAAGTATAAAAGAAGAATGGTAAGTTAATTCAGACTACGAATTTTAGTTACTGCCTTCGTTGTTGTTATTGGTTTCTTTTTGTTTTTGAGGCAGGATCTTGCCACGTATTCCAGGCTGGCTTTGAACTCAGTGATCCTGTGGCCTCAGCCTCCCAAGTGCTGGGATTACAGAGTGCCTTAGTTCTTTTCTTCATTTTTATTGCATGTCACTAAGCAAAGATAGTGACATAAGTTTTAGATAGTGATATAAGTTTAGTTATGCATGACTGCCTCAGTAAAGACTGACTAATTGTATATATATCTTATATGTATATATATCTATAACTACATATATACATACAGAGATATATAGATATATTTTTTTGTACCAAGGATTAAACTCATGACCTCATGCTTACCAGGCAGGCACTTAAGCCGCTAAGCTAAATCCCTGGCCCCACTGTAATATATTTTGAAGTGTCTTTTTATCATAACTGAGTAATCAAGGTACTAAATTTTTTTAATAAAAAATTACTTTCACACATTTCTCACTCTGGTAAGTGAGAAATTCATTTATTTCATTATCTTCTTGTGCTGTACCATCTTGGAATTATAGTAGAAATATCCTGATTTTGGAGTCAGATAAACCTAGGTTTGAATGCCATCTCTGTCTTGTATTTCATCTCTGACCTGTAGGGTACCTAATAGATTGTTTGGGTTTCAACATCTTATTTACAAAGGGGATGTAAATATGTACCTGTCTCAAAGGTTTTTGTGAGAATTACATGGTAGATTTAAAATATTTAACAGCACTATATTAGCACACTTGATCAGTGGTAGTTGTGGGGTGATGGTTTTTATCAATATAGAATATTTTTTTCTCTGAGGTGAGATACTCATTTTGAAAAACATTTTTGAAGTTTCTTTATCTTTTTTACTTGAGCTTTTTAAAAAAATAAATTTAATACTAATTATTTGGCTATGAGGTTGTGTCAGAGACCTGCAAGACCTCCCCCTCAGGATTGATGAGTTGTTAGAAAGATTCGCAGAATTTGGTGTATTCTGTTCCTTACAGCTATAATTTATTACAGTAGAGGATCATAAACCAAGATCATCAAAGGAGCAAAGTGCATGGGGCGTGGCCTAGGGGAACCCCATACAGGTGTCCAAGAGTCTTGGCTGTTGGCCTCATAGCATCACCTGGGATGAGGTTGGATCCTCAGTGTTTGCAAGATAAGCATCTCGCAGTGTAGTGAATGCCTAGGCTCCATCAATCCTCCCACCTCAGCCTCCCAGAGGAGACTATAGGCATGCGCCATCATTCCTGGCTGAGCCCAGGAATTCTGTGGGGAGCTAATCACATGCTGAAATTCTAGCATCTCATAAGGAAAGTAGGATTTCAGTGTAAACCCTTTAATTACATTTGGGCCAGTCTTACAAGGATGGTGGGAACTGTATTAGTCACTTTTCTCCTTGCTAGAACAAAAAAATCCAGCACTCACAATTTAAAAGAAAAGAGGGTTGTCTTGGCTTATGAGCGTTTGAGGTTTTAGTTGATAGGCTGGCTCTGGGAAGGAAGGGCATCGTGGAAGAGCATGGGTAGAAAAGGGAAGGGCCGCGCACCCCATTGTAGCTAGGAATCAGAGAAGGGAGTAGCAGGGCGAAAGGTAAACCCTCGCTGTGCCTGCTGCTACCCCCAGCTTCACCCAGACCCCAGCCTCCTAAGCACAGAGCTCTGAACTCTTGAGAGGATTAACAGTGCCAAGTGTGATGTCCCCGTGATCCAGTCACTTTCCTGAAGCCCATCCTCTGAACATACACAAACACACACAAGTTTTTCAAACCAGGTGTGGTGGTGCCTGCCAGTAATGTCATCATTCTGGGAGGCTGAAATAAGAGCATCACAAGCTAGAGCGTGAGCTGGGTAGTTTAGGAACCTGGCAAAGTAAAAGATAAGAGATAAAAGGGCACTGGAGATCCAGTTCCCAGTGCTGGAAAAATAAAAAATAAAAAAAGAGGCCAGGCATAGTGGCACACATCTGTCATCCCAGCACTTGGGAGGTTGAAGCAGGAAGATCACTGCCAGTTTGAGACCAGCCTGAGCTACAAAATGAGTTCAAGGCCAACCTGAACTACACAATGAAACTGTCTCAAAAAGACGAAAAGAAAGACAGTTGTAGTTGTTCATTGCTGTTGTATAGGAAAACCTTTTGTGTTTTTTTTTCTTTTCTTTTCCTTTTTTTTAAACTTTTTTGCAGTACTGGGAATTGAGTCCATGAATACTCTACCCTAAGCTATAGCTCTTCTAATTTTTTTTTTAATCGTAGACAGGGTCTTGCTAAATTGTCCAGATTGGCTTCAAATTTGCCATCTTCCTGCTTCAGCTTCACAAGAATTCCAGGCATTCATCCCTATGCCTGTCTCATTCTTTAGTACTTTGATATTTTCTGCATGACTTAAAATCAGCCAGAAACATTTAATAGTAAACAAAATCTTAGATAATAGTTCTCAGATGATGAAATATAAATACAAAAATAGTGGTAGAGTATTAAACCACTATACCTAACATAATCAGCAGAAAATCTCAATCTGAAATATGGAGAGATCAAAAATACTATTTTTGATACTTTGGGGTTGGCATCTTATGATACAGACCCCCCACGGCGCAGAGGCCAGCCTGCTCAGCACAGCATTGTCCCAGCCACGTGTCAGCAGAGGAAAGGGGATGCCGGGAAGGGCAGTGTCCGCTCCTCAGCAGAGCGCTGGAGCAACAGGCACAGCAGGCAGGGGTGGGGGCACCATCCATCCCAATGTCCCGTAGAAGAACTGATGTAAATTGTTATACAACTGACAGTGGCCCTTAGTTTTATTTTTTGTTTAGGGTTTGCGAAGCAGGATCTGACAATCAACCACTTGATGACAATCAGCAAAGGAATTGTGAATATTTTGTGGATAGCCTTTTTGAGGAGGCTCAGAAGGTTGGAGCCAAGTGCTTATCTCCCACTGAACAGAAGAAACAGGTAAGAGTATAGTGTTGCTTTTCTCTTCCAGGATCTCAAAAGTGGAACTTGTGTTTTTGGTTTTTTTTTTGAGGCAGGATCCGTCCGAGTTTCAGGCTGGCCTTGAACTCACTTTGTAGCCCAGGCTGGCCTCGAACACACAGTGATCCTCCTGCCTCAGCCTCTTGAGAGCTGGGATCACAGACATGTGCCACCAAACCCAGCCTAAATTCAGAACTTTAGAAGGTCCGTGAGGTCAAAACTTTTTTCATAATGCTAAAAACACTTGCCATTGTCAGTGTTGACCTGGAATAGGGACTGCAGAAACTGGTGAGTACAACTTCAGACATTCCGGCAGGAGCACACTGAACTAGCAGGCATTCCATGGTGTGCTTGCGCTTGCATGGAGATATGCAAGCCAGTGTCCGAGAGGAACAGCTGGGTGGAGCAGGACGGTGGAGCAGGGCTGCTGTTGCTGCTGTTGTTTATTAGGTCCCAGGCCACCGACACAGCCTCACTGTGGATGAAGCAGACGTAGCATTTGCCCAGGACACAGAGACGCTTGAGGGGAAGCCCAGTTGTTTGAGGCAGAAACTGAACTTTTTCTTGGCAGTTTTTACATGAGAGAATGATTTACACCTAGCCTGTGGTTTACTCAGACTTGGATATTTCATGTTCCTGGCTACACTTTAAAGAAAACAACCTACAGATTTATTGCATACAATAAAATTTTACTTAACCACCATTTTTAATGAAAATAAAGATTTTGAAGAATTGCCACCATGTACTTGACAGCTTCCCAAATTTGAAAAATTTCTTGATGAGATCAGTGTCATTTTAGTGGATATAATTTTTTATTGCTGGGGATATAGCTCAGTGGCATAAGTGCCTGCCTTGCCAGTGCAAGGTCCTGAGTACATTTGTATGTATATAATTTTTTATTGTATAATGAAACGTACCAATATTTGGACAGTTCACATAATTTGGAGAACCTGTGTTTTCCTACTGATGACAAATGTGGTTTTGTAAACTCATGTTTGAGAAAAGGTTGAAGTGTCACACATAATGAAGAATTTTAATGCAGCAATAATATGAAAAGGTCATGGATGCTTTCCAATTTTACACTCAGATTCTTTGTTGCTTTTTGTTTTTCACGTTTGTTTGTTTTTGAGTTTCCACGTATGTCATACAAGTTGGCCTTGAACTCACTATGTAGCCCACGTTGACCTCAAACTCATGATTCCTCCTGCCTCAGCCTCCCAAGTGCTGGGGTCACAGGCATGCACTGTCACACCCACCTCAAGCATGTCCATCCTGACAGCCTATGTGGAGATTGTGGCAGGGTCTTTGAATAGCCTTGGTAGGAGAGTGTGTGCGTAGACTGTCCTCCACTGGTCAGTGTGCAGCATACCCACCTGGCCACACCCTGTAGCCAAGTCACCTTCTCACCCAGATACCATAGTCTGAGCTGTTTGGTTTCTCCTGAGAGGCAACATGCAGACACTGGCCTTCTTTCTCAAGTAGGGTGATTGCCCTCTATCAGAATCATCCTGTTCTTTTTTATTTTTTTTTATTTTAAAGAGAATAAAACCAGGGCTGGGGATTTAGCTCAGTGGCATAAGCGCCTGTCTGGCAAGAGTGAGGTTGTGAGTTCAATCCCCAGTACAAAAAAAAAAAAAAGAAAAGAAAGAGAATAAAACCAAACAAAATGAAACAGAACAAAGCCAATCAAAACCATGAAAATGATATAGGACTTCAAAACAAGATACTAGGATATAGCAATGGCTATCATATTGCCTCTTCTTACCTGCAGAATAGCTGCTCATATCATCAGATGTAATAAAATCAAACAGAATAAACCAAACCAGGGAAATCATGCTGGGGTTGGGAGGAATAACAAGAAGCCAATTTGCCCTTCCTGTGAGCTAGCACATGCCACACAGAACCTAGGAAAAAAAAAAAAAGCCAATTCGCCTTTCCCATGAGTCAGCTGGCACCCAGGCTGGGAGGCAAGAACACCCTATCCCACCACCATGCCGCAAGCCACCGGCTGATTCTGAGGACAGGCTGAGTTGATAGTAACTGAGGTATCAAACCAACTTAATGCTTTTATTGCTTGACTGAGTTTGCAGGCCTACAGCTGGTGGTCTGAGTATCTTTTAGGGTAACAGTATGCAATATAGTAAATATGTGGGATTTCCTTCTGCCTTGTTTTTGAAATCCAGTATTGTTCTCACTTTTGTTGTTGTTGTTTCATTGTGTTGTTTTGTTTTATTTCTTATCTTTTGGAGACAGGGTCTCACTGTGCAGTTCAGGCTGGCCTTGAGCTCACTTTGTAGCCCAGGCTGGTCTCGAACTCACAACTACCCTCCTGCCTCAGCCTCCAGAGTGCTGGGATTACAGGCGTGAGCCACCATGCCCAGCATCACTGTATTGTTTTGTTTTATTTAGTGCTATATTTTGACTGGTTTTGTTCTGTTTGGTTTTGTTTGATTTTAGTATGTCTGGTGTATGGGCAGCAGTTTTGGAGATGACAAGAGACATTGTGGTAGCCATTGTTGATTTCCTGTTATCTTGTTTTGAAGTCCTGTATTGCTTTCATTGTTTTGTTCTGATTGGCTTTATTCGGTTTGGTTTGGTTTGGTTTGGTTTGGTTTGGTTTGAGTCTCTTTAAAATAAAATTAAAAAAAAATAAAATACAGGACTTTGAAACAAGATAACAGGCGATTAACACCTATTTTTAGACATTTCCACCCCTCTCACTTTCACAATATCTATTTTACTTTTGTTTTTGTACTGGGCTTTGAACTAACTCTATTTTACATTTTGGATCCTACTAGCTCCCTCAATATTTTATATAGGGACAAGAGAATGTCCACCCATATGAGTCCAAACTATTTCACCCATGAGTGTGATCTCAAGTTCCATCCATTTATCTATGAGAGCCTCAAGATCATCCTTCTTTGGGGCTGAGTAGCTTTCCATTGTATAAAAATGTCATACCTTATCCATTCTGCAGTTGATGGGCGAGTTACCCCTGCTTAGTTCTGGGTCCCCGTTGCATGGGACATTGTCTTCTCTCCTACAGATTTCAGTCTGTGAATTTCCTTTCGAGTCAAATGTGTTTCTTGTGTAAAGCATATTGATGGAGCCTGTCTCCTGATCCACTCTCTCTGTGTTGTTTTTTATTGAGGCCATTATTAATGGTTACAATTGACACACATTGCCTTGTCTCTGCCGTGCTGTCCTCCGCCTGTTGGCCCCCCACTTTTCCCCTCTATTGGACTGCCTGTCCTCCTCAGCAGTCCCCCTGTGCCACTGTTCTTGGAACCACAATCATCTTTATCTCTCTCTGGAATGTCCTTGAGCACTCTCCACAGGGTTGGTTTGGTGGTCTCGAATTCCTCACGTTGTTCTTTGTCCTGGAAGTTGTTCTTTATCTTGTTTCTTCATTGATTTTTTTTTTCTCCATTAATTTTGAAAGATAGTTTTACTGGGTAGATCAATCTGAGTTGAAAGTAGTTTTCTTTCAGGATTTGAAACACTTCACTCAAGCAGGGCGTGGTGGCTCACACATGTAATCCCAGCACTCTGGAGGCTGAGGCAGGAGGGTAGTTGTGAGTTCGAGACCAGCCTGGGCTACAAAGTGAGCTCAAGGCCAGCCTGAACTGCACAGCGAGACCCTGTCTCAAAAAGACAGGAAAAAAAAAAAAAAAAACCAAAAAAAAAAAACACTTCACTCCAAGCTCTCCTTGACTTGATTTGGGTTGATAAGTCTGTCATGATTCTGGTAGTTTTTCCTTTATAAGTAGTAATCTGTTTCTTTTCTCTGACAGACTTTAATATTCTGTTCTTGTGCTGAATGTCTGGGATTTTGGTTATTATATGTCTGGATGTAGATTTATTTTGGTATGGCTAGCTGGAAAGCTATATGCCTCACTTGTCTAGATGTCAGGTCATTTTCCCATGCTTTGGGAGTTTTCTGCTTTGGTATTTTTTATGCCATTGTGTGGACTCCTGTTTCTTCGCTGACACCTATCAGTCTTAAATTATTATTGTTATTTGCATCACTTGCAGCCGTTGAATTGCTGTTTCCTGGTTCCATGTTATTTTTAGGAGATGTTTCATTTCATGATCACTAGCTGCAATTCTGTCTTCCAGGTCTGAAAGTCATGTCTTTAATTTCTTTCAAGCAGTTTTGTCAGCTTTCAATGGAGTTTTTAATTTTCTGAATATCTCTTTGAATGTTTTATGCATGGTAATTCTTTCCTACATTGCTCATTGAAGTTTCCTGTCATTTTCCTATGCTCCTGTTTATCTACATCTTCTTTATATGCTCAGCAGTTCTTTCATTGTTTGTCATTTCTTCACTGACCTGAGATACTATTTCTGATTTGATTAGTTTTGTAGGCTCATAGAGTTATCCTTTCAGAAATTTCAGGTACGTGGCTTCTAATTTCTTCCATGTCGGTGTCTCCCAGACTTGTTCTGTGTGAGCTGGAGGTCTGAGATTGCCTTTTGCACATTCGTCTTCACATTTTCCTGGGTCCTTCTGGACGAGCCAGTTGTGGGGTCCCAGCTGCTTCCCACTTGGCTGTCTACCCTCCAGGTACCTGGGGTTCTCCCGCCCTAGATCCCCGGGAAGTGGTGGGGCACAAGGCAGGGCATCCAGACATGCACAGCTGACTGAGACGCCTCCAGTGGTGGCAGGTGTGCGGGGGCTTGGCTGACTACATCTCCCCGCCCACTCTAGTTACCAGTTCCCGGTGGTGGCCAGCGGGCCCCAGGGTGTGTGGCCGGTCCTGTGAAAAGAACACCTCAGGGAACAAATGGGTTAAACCCTTGCAAGGCTTAATTTGCCTGAGTTTGAGATTTGTGATTCTGATATGTGAGCCTTCACACCATGTTTCCTCCCTTCAGGAGTTTAGGGTTTGCTGGGGATGTAGCTCAGCAGCACAGTGCCTGCCTGGAAAGCGTGAAGTCATGAGTTTGATTCCTGGTACCAGAAAACAAAAAGGTTTTAAAATCTTCCCTTGAGCCTGATTTTTTTTCTTTTTGTATCAGGGATCAAACTCACAACCTTGTGCTTGCCAAGCAGGCGCATGTGCCACTGAGCTAAGTACCCAGCCCTAGCCTGGTGTTCCTATGTATCGTCATTCAAGTCTTTTCAAATTCATTCAAACCAGAAATGTTCTTTACCATTTGGGGACAGTTTTTACTGTCTGTTGTCTGTCTGTTTTTTGAGACTGGGTCTCACTTTGTACTTTAGTCTGGCCTTAAACTCACTTTGTACTCCCAGCCATCCTCTGCCTCAGCCTCTCAAGTGCTGGGATTATAGGCACATAGCACCACACCCAAAGGAGGGCATTTCTCTTATTACAGTTTTGCTGTCAGGGCCCTTTGTCGAAATGGTCTTCTTTAGATGTTGGACCTCTTGGATTGAGTGTCCTAATTATTTTTACCTTTATTTTCTGCTTTGTTTTTACTTTAATTGGAGTATTTTTTCAACCTTATATTCCTTCCTTTAATTTTTTTTATGTTCAATTTCTAGGAATTTTTGTTCCCTGAATCTTTGCTACCCATTGTCTTTCAAACACCATCTTCTCTTACCCGAACATATTAATGATCATTTTGGAGGATTTGTTTTGAAGTTTCTCCTTTTTTTTTTTTTTTTTTTTTTTTTTTGTACCAGGTATTGAACTCACAACCTTACACTTGCCAGGCAGGCGCTTGTGCTGCTGAGCTAAATCCCTGGATCCTCTTTTCCTTAATGTCCTTTTTTTTTTTTTCCTTTTTAACCTAATACTGGAGACTGAACACAGCTACATTTGCAACCTTTTAATGTTTTTTTGGTTGAAGCAGGGTCTTGTTAAGCTGCTTGGTCTGGGATGAATTTTGATCTGCCTGCCTCAGCTTCTCATAGTGCTACAATACAGGTGTGATTGATCACACCCATCTCCTGTCTCTTGTGTTGTTTTGTTTTGTTTTTCCTCTGTATTTTTTTTTCCCACATTGCTGCTCTTTTTTTTTTTTTTTTTTTTTGGTACCAGGAATCAAACTCAGGGCCACACACTTGCAAGGCAGGCGCTTAGGCCTTCCAGATTGCTTTTGATCCATGTCTAGTTGAATCTGTGCTAGGGCACCTGGAGTACAGAGTCCCAGTGTTGATGCTGCTATTGTGGTGACTTTTCGGGACCCCTCTCAGGAGCCGTCTGTTAACAGTAGGCACTGGCACCGTCCGCTGACAGATGACTGACTGTCAGAAGCAGAGATGGCTTCTGGCCTTCTGTCTCCGTAGACAGTTTCCAGTCAGTCCTCTGGGTGTGGCCTGTGGCAGCCCTGCTCTGAGCTGACTGGCAGCTTCTGCCCTGCCGCAGAGGCTCATCGTGCTCCTTCAGAGAGGAGTGAACACGGGTTGTTCCCTCGAGCTGAAGACTGGAGCGCTGAGCTGAGCGCGGAAGAACCTGGCGTTGGTGTCCTGTCTGCAGGAATACCCGCTCATTAGTCACTATGTTTTTCTCTGGTATATCTGGTTGTTTTGTTTTGTTTTGTGGTACTGGGAATTGAGCCCAGCAAATATTTTACACTGAAGTTCCCTGTTATACATAAAGTAACTGGGGATATAGTTCCGCAGCACAGTGCCCACCTGGCCTGGCAAACGTGAGGTCTTGAGTTTGATTTCTGGTACCAAAAAAAAAAACATAAAATATATAGTAACAGAAAAAATTTTCAAAGGATTCTTTTTGAGGGTCTCTGTTTAGTTCACACTGGCCGTGAACTCACTATGTAGGTTAGGTTGACCTTAAACTCACAGTGGCCTTCCTGCCTCAGCCTCCCAGGTACTGGGATTACAGACATGCATCAGGACACCTGTTGTTCAAGGGTCAAAGACCTTGGCACAAGGGCATGCACATGTGTTTCAATGGAATTGAACCCAGGGAGTTGGCATGAGCTACACCTCCGGGTTGGGCTAGAACTTGAGGCCCTCCTGCCTCAGCCTTCAGAGTGCCAGAATGACAGGTATACCCACTCCACCTATCTTTAAAGGACTTTTCATCTTCTACTATTACATTTTATTAGCATAATACAATTTTTTTATTACTTTGCAGGTAGATGTAAGTATAAAATTATGGAAAAATGGATTTACAGTCAACGATGATTTCAGAAGTTATTCTGATGGTGCAAGTCAGCAGTTTCTGAACTCCATCCGAAAGGGGTAAGCAGGCTGCATGGGGAGCGTGTGTGAGGCACGTTTTATTGTCCTTTGTTCTGATCTTTTTTTTTTTTTTTGGGTCTTTTTCGTTTTTATCGGTAGTGGGGATCGAACTCACGACTGCCTGCTTGCAAGGCAGGCACTTATGCCGTTGAGCTAAATCCCCAGCCCCTGTTCTGATCTTTTGTAATGTGGATCACATACTCCTACACATTCGTGCACTTTTTTGTTTGTAAATTCGCATCTGTCGTATTTCTGGTGGTACTGGGGGTTTAACTGTCCCCAGGCCATTTTTACTTTGAGACAGTGCCTCACTAAATTGTTAAGTTGCCCAGGCTGAGCTCACATATGTAATTGTCCTGTTTCAGCCTCTTAGAGGGTTGGGGTCACAGGTTTAGATGAGTTTTTTTTTTTTCCCTTTGGTCTTTTTGAGACAGGGTCTCGCTATGCAGTTCTGGCTGGTCTTGAGCTCACTTTTTAGCCCAGGCTAGTCTCGAATTTGCAAGGATCCTCCTGCCTCAGCCTCTTGAGTGCTGGGATTACAGGCCTGAGCTGCCACGCCCGGCAAATTTATGATCTTAAGAGTGATTTTCCATCTTTGGATTGTTTATGCTATTCATACTACTTGCCTGTAGTATTTTAATTACATGTAGTTATTTCCCTGTAGAGAATACTGTATGTAGAGTATACATACAAATACTTTTTATTTGTATGTATTTACACGTATTATCCAATGCTTTTTGCATACAAAATGTCTTTGTAGGACAGAAAAAATATTGAGAGCTGTATCCTCTTATTTCCCTCCCTTCCAAGGGAACTACCTTCAGAATTACAGGGAGCTTTTGATAAAGAGGAGGTAGACGTGAAAGTTGAAGATAAGAAGAATGAAGTGTGTGTGTCCACGAAGCCTGCCTTCCAGCCCTTCTCGGGGCAGGGGCACAGACTGGGCAGGTGAGTGCAGACCTCATCTGGGCGCTTCCTGAGCAGAGACCTGACTGATGTTTCAGCCGTCATCCGTTTTTTTTAACTTTTTTTTTCTTTTTTGAGACAAGGTCTCACTGTGTGCGCAGGCTGGCCTTGAAGTTGCAGTCATCTTTTTGCCTCAGCGCCTTGCGTGCTGGAATTCCAGGCATGCCACCGCACACACTCCAAATAAGAGTTTTTAAATATTTGGGTTGGTTTGGGGTTTTTTTTTTTGTTTTTGGTACCGGGACTGAACCCAGGACCTTGCGCTTTTCAGGTAGGTGTTTTTGCCACTGAGCTAAATCCCCAACCCTTGATGTTATTTTTTATGAAGAGTCTTAAGTCATACTTACCTTTGTGTATATTAACATATGCCACCAGTAATCATGTAAGTTTCATTTGCTTTGTTTTGTTTTGTTTCGTTTTTATTAGATAGCAAGGCTTGACCTATCAGTAGCAGAAGTCTTTATATTGGTTTTTTGAGATGGGGGTCTCACTGTGTGGTTCAGGTTGGTCTTGAGTTTACCCTGTAGGCCAAGCTGGCCTCCAACTGTGATCCTCCTGCCTCAGCCTTTCAAGTGCTGAGATCACAGGCATGTGCCACCAACCCAGCTCAAAATCTTGAATTATTTTCATGTTTTTCCATCTCTTTCTACCTAACAACATATTGTAACAGAGTATGGAGGAATGAGATCACTTCGCTTTTTGTGAATTTTAGTTATCAAAGTTGGCAAGGTGCATACATATTCACCCATTTATTAAAAAATGTTGTCATGTGTCTTTCAAAAAACGTGGTTTCTTTTCTTTATAACCCAACAGCTAATCTGTATATAGAGAGCTGGTAATTTCTTTTAGAGACTTTTCTTGGGCAGTAAGTAAAGCTAAAAGTGTGTAGATCTTTCAACTTTTACAAAATTTTTCTGTGAAGCAGTATTTAAATAACACTAGGAACAGTTTTACTCTCTAAGCTTACAAATTATGAATATGCAAAATCTTGTTAGCTACTTAGAACCATCATATATTGGGGATGTAATGAATGTCTGTTATTATTGAGCAAATAGTTGTGATGTACAGTCATCAAAAGTTACATTTAGTATAACTTTTTTTTTAGTGTAACATTTTTAGAATGGTAAAAAGTGTGTCTAACTTTATTATCTGGATTTTCTTAGTGCCACACCAAAAATTGTTTCTAAAACAAAGACTGTTGAAGTTGAAAGTAAAAATAATTTGTCTGCTGTTGCACTGAATAACTTGGAGCCCATCACTAACGTACAGATCTGGCTAGCCAATGGGGAAAGGGTCATCCAGAAATTTAATGTTTCTCATAGGTAAGTACTCTGTTTTAATATTCGTCTGACACTTTTTAAAGTTTAAAATGTTGATGCTTCTTTTAAATTTATTGGACACTAGTTCTTAGGATGAATGAAGGGCTGGGTGTGGTAGCGCAGGGCTAGAGTCCCAGCCCTTGGGAGGCTGAGCCAGGAGGGTCATCACTTGGAGTTCAGTGCCAGCCTGGGCTACAAAGCCAGTCTGAACTGCATAATGAGACCTTGTCTCAAAAGGACAAAAAAGAACAATGAAGCAGCTTGGTGGTGGGGCACACCTGTAACCGCAGCTCTTAGGAGGCTGAGGCAATGGGATTATCACGATTTCAAGGCCAGCCTGAACAGTATAGCGAGGTGTCTCCAAAAAAGAAAGCAGATTTTTTTTTTTTTTTTAATCTTTTTGAGACAGGACTTCAGTTCAAACTGGCTGGCCACACTCCCAGGAATCCTCCTGTCTCAGCCTCCTGAGTACTGACATTACAGGTGTTCACTACCATACCAGACAAGACCGTGTCTCAAAAACAATAACAAAAAAGCATTCTATTCCTCTGTTAGATGCACTAAAATAATAAAAACAAGAGAGCTATTGAAAAATTTGAGTGTTTAATTCTACTACTCAAAAATAGAATTATTAGATTGCTACATATTTAATGTTTTATCTCTCATAAAAGTATGCTTTTTTTTTTTTTACTGGGCTGAACAATGTGGTTAAAAAAGAGACTTCTCAGCTCAAAACATCCTCCTGCCTCAGCCTTCTAAGGTAGCTAGCAGTTCAGGATGACTTTGAACTTACTATGTAGCCCAGGCTGTCCTGTAACTCCCAGTGACCCTCTTGCCTCAGCTTCTGAATGCTGGGAGTACAGGCATGCACCACTTGCCCGGCTAGTGAGCACTTTTAAAAGAGATTAATACCAGACTGGGAGGGTAGCTCAGTGGTCCAGTGCTTGCTAGCGCGTGGGAGGCCTTAGATTTGATCTCCAGAAAGAAGGAGGATTTCACATCAGCAGTACACGTGATGGGAGGTCCTTGCATGGCAGTCAAGCATGTTGATGACTGAACCAAAAGTGACTCAGCGGATGAGTCTGCCTCAGGTGCAGGTGTTATAGGTGGTCCACTTAGATTTTCCGTTTCACTGGAGTGCATGAGTGATTTGATAGATGTTTGTGAAATTAAGTCAAAGTATTCTCTCAAAAAATACAGAAATTCTAAGTGTTAAGAAAATATATTGCCATAGTCTAGGTTTTGTTTTGTTTGTTTTGTTTTTGGTTTGGTTTGGTTTTTGAGATAAGGTCTTGTCTGTAGTCCAGGCCGGCCTCAAACACTGAGATGACAGGCATGGGCCACCTCACTTTTACATAGACTTTAAAAAACTTTAGTAGTGCATAAAACAGTGATGTGTCTTAAAATTAATGGCAGCCTAGTTTTGATCCTCTGTGCACAGTCCCTCTTTCAGTGTGGCCAACACCATGGTGAGCGGGATGCTGAGCGGGATGCTGAGCTCCAGTGAGGCTTGCAGGCGCTTCCTTAGCTCCAGGGGTTAGCGCTGCGTTCCTCATCCTCACCGAAGTGCTGTCTGCTCTGTGTGAGCAGTTTTCCTCATTGGAAGCGAGGCGCACACAGCATAACCTGCTGTTAAGACATACCCCTGCCCGCCGGGCCTGGTGGTCCATGCCTGTAGTCCCAGTCCTTGGGAGGCTGAGGCAGGGGCGCTCTGCAAGTTGAAGGGCAGCCTGGGCTACAAAGTGAGTTCAAGGCCAGCCTGAACTGCCTGGTGAGGGCCTGTTTGTAAAAGACAAAAACAAAAAAAAGAGCTGCACTGTTCTGTGGAGGATCATCAGTTGGACTGTTTGTGTTGCACTCAGAGGTAGATACGTAAATATTGTATTACAGCAAATCTCAGACTGGGCATGGTGGCTCACACCTGTAATCCCTGCACTCAGGGCGGCTGAGTCAGGAGGGTTACAAATTCCAGTCCAGTACCAGTTTTAACAAGACCTTGTTTCAAAAACCAAACAAATAAAGAGGGCTAGAAATGCATCTCAGTTGAAAGGCCTGGGTTCAATCCACAGTGAACCCCTCCCCCGGAAAAGGGCGAGGGTGATGGGTGAGGCCTTGTGTGGTGGCACATGCCTGTGTTCCCAGCATTCAGGAGGCGGAGGCGGAAGGATTGCGGGGAGCTGCAGTTTAAGGCCAGCCTGGGCTACATAGCGAGATTGTGTCTCACAAAGAAAAAGAAACACGGGACTCGGCCGCGGGATGGCCTGGCTGCTGTGCTTTCGCGTGAATGTGCCTCACGCTGTCACTGTGGGAGTTACATGGGAAGTACGCGCTGCTTTACAGGGTGAGTCACATCCGAGACTTCATTGAGAAGCACCACGGGTCTCAGACAGCGCCGCCCTTCTCCCTGGCCACCGCGCTGCCCTTCCTCAGATCACTGGACGACACGCTCACCCTGGAAGAAGCCGACCTGCGGAACGCTGTGGTCATTCAGAGACCCCGGATTTCCGCCCAGCCCCTCGGGGAGCACTCGTAGCGCTGGTGCTGAGCCGGGAAGGGCAGGAGCGTGGGGAACTGGGGGTGCCTGCTCAGAAGGGGCGCCGGGGGAGGCAGGTGTGCGGACCGCGGGTCTAGGGGGTTTATTCTTCCCCACCGAGAAGTCACGGTGACGAGAAGCTACATTTTCACATTGTTTTCCAAAAACTGCTCAGAAAAAAAAATAGACTTATTTTCAAAATACCAGGTAGTCAACATAAAATAAATATGTTTTAGAATTTTAATAAGGGCCAGATGATATTATGCAGGTTAAAAGCTTCAGTGTAATTATTCTGTACTTCAGACATAATCAGAAGTCTGGGATGAGCTGAGTATGGTGGTGCACGCCTGTCTGTACGGTGAGGTCAAGGCCAGCCTGGGCACATGGCAAGGTTCTGTCCCAAAACAAGACAGAAGCTAGGATGACCTGTTCTTACCTTCGCTGTGTCTAACCTCAGAGAATTCTCAGTTTTCACTCTGTGCAGGGAAGATGTATTCACATATTTATTGGTACCAGTTTATAAGTTGTATCTTCACTTAGGAGTAAAATTGCTCAGTTTAGAGTCATGTCAGCATTATCTGCCTACTCACCTTCCTATACTTTCTAAACTTAAAAAGAAATAATAATTCTCTCCAGGAACCCAAATTCATTGGTTCCCTCAGCACCTGAAAATTAGAAGTTTGTTTTTAGCTGGCATTTGGGATTAGCCGTGCACCTGCTACTGTTCACTTAGAATATGAGAGTTGAGCTCTGTGTTCACTAAAGGAGTATGCGTCCTGATGAGCCAAGGAAAGCATGCTTTGTGTATTAGGCTTTTAACACACCCAGCTGTATTCAAGTATCTCAGTTAGACCAAGGGTCCACTCTTAGCCGAGTGTGGTGGTGCACACCTGTGATCCCAGCACTTGGGAGGCTGAGCAGGAGGATCAAAGTGAATTTGAGGCAGCCTGAACTTAATAGCAAGAACCTGTCTCAAAACAACAGCAACAGCAACAACAACAACAAAAAAAACTCTTGGAAATAAGCTTAAGGAGCTATTTTGCAAAAGATCTGTTCAGTCAGATTAAAAATAAAGTATACATTGAGTCTGGCAAGAATTATGTGGCATAAAAAACAGTAATGCTCATGGGGTGTTGGACTATGCTGAAAAATTTGGGGGCTCAGAATCTTTTAGTGGGCAATATGTGAATATATATGCAAAATCCAAAGTTCTAAACTGTATTTGCTTTAGAATAGTAATTTTGCAAGCCAGGCATGGTGGCACATGCCCATAGTCCCAGCTGCCCATCAAGGCTTACGTGGGAGTGTCACTTGAGCCTAGAAATTCAGGGCCAGCATGGGCAACCCCTGGAGACCTGGTCTCTTACCCATGAACAGTGGTACCTCGGTTTTCGAGCTTAGTTCTCCCTGATTCTGGTCACAAACCAAACTGGTCAAGAAGCAAAGGTGAACACCAAACTTGACCTGAGTTAGGCTTGGTTCTCCTGCAGCTCCATTTTGCAAACAAAATTGTGGAAGGAAACATTTTTTCTTTTTTCTTTCTTTTCTTTTTCTTTCTTTTTTTTTTTTTTTTGGTGCGGGGAGTTGAACTCATGACCATAGTACTTGCCAGGCAGGTGTTTATGCCCTAAGTTAAATCCCCAGCCCCTCGGAAACAAATTTTTGAATCGAGGTACCACTGTACTTTCAAAACACAAGAATCTAGTAGGAAAAGTGGCATCGTGTTTTCTGCAGATATCTTTACTGAGAGTATGCCTGGGTTTTTACCTGCTTCTCCATTCACTGTGTGGCAGTGTCATGTCATGTAGGCCCTGGAAGACACCATTAAACTGCATTCAAGAGAGCGTGGAGCCGGACGTGTAACTCAGCAGCACAGTGCCTGCCTGGCAAGCATGAGGTCCTGAGTTTAATCCCCAGTACAAAAAAAGTAATGAGAAAAACCTGTGACCATCTATCACTCTGAAAAGGGTTTTAGCCTCCCGAGCCCCTGCATGGGTCTCAGGCCCTGCAGTAAGTCCCTGGGTCCTAGCCCATAAAGCAAAGAATGCTTCCCAGTGCCCCGAAAGCCCACGTGGGGGATCCCTTGGCAGACTTCAGAAACCCCTGTTCCTCTGCCGGCCCCAGCCTTCTGAGCCTCTGTGTCCGGAAACAGGAGTGCAAGGGAATCCTGTCACTCCTTGGGAGAGCCAGCCAGGAGCTGCCCCCCCCCCCCCAAAAGCAAGCCCACGTGCCTGGTCACTGGAAGACGCCACTGAAGTGGCGATGCTACCTCTAAGTCTGGCCTTGTCCCCTCCACTTCCCTTAGGCTGTGCCCCCAGCCTGCAGGAGCCCCAGCGGAACCAGTGCTTTGTCTGGTGCACAGATGAGGCGGGTGTGACATTTCAATGAGGATTTTCCTGCAGGCACGGGAACCCCGAGTGGGGCTCTGCTCATAACTAGGTGACCCAGCTCCCACCCCCACTGCTCTCAGTGCCTCCTTCCCTCACTGCCAGCCATCTCCGTGACGGGCTGGGAAGGAGGGGACACAGCGAGCCTTTCCCTCTGCCCTTTACCTCAGCAGTGATGGTCACATCTTTCTGATGCAGAAAGCAGCTTATGATGATTGTTAGTATGTGCCCAGGAACCTATGAAAATGTTTCATCTGCACCTATCATGAAGCATTTCTATTTGCAGTTATAATCAGTATGTGGTTCTCCCTGTGTGTCTAATAGCCTCTTACGAGTATTTCTGATACACTGACAGAAAAGCCTCCTTTGTTGCCAGTGCTGTAGTTCCAGCACTCAGGAGGCTGAGGCAGGAGAATTGCTGTGAGCTTGAGGCCAGCCTGGGCTGCATAGTGAGACCCTGTCTCAAAAAAGTAGGCAAAAAAAGCCACCTTTGCAGATTTTTCCAGTTCCCAGTGAGCCTGAACACACGAGGGAGGTTTCTTATGCATTCATGTAAAATACCGCATCCCAGCAAGGGGTCCCACAGAGAAGACCTGGCATCAGCAATAACCTTTATCTTTTTAACTGTGAGAACTTTCATTATTGTGAATAATATTCTCAAAGGTTTACTGAAAGGGTCATCGTTTGATAAAAGCTGTTTACTTGAGGCTGGGCATGGTGGTGCGTGCTTGTAATCCCAGCACTCAGAAGGCTGAGGCAGGAGGATCACTATGAGTTCAGGCCAGCCTGAGCTACAGGACAAAACTCTTTCTCCAGAAAAAAAGCTGTTTTGTTGAAAGTTTAAAAGTTGTAAAATTGTTAATTAAACATGTAGAATACATAATCCATGTTGACTTTGACAAACATGAACTGAATTTGCTAAGGGAACAAAAACTTGAAAATTAAGCAAACGTTGTAGGTGTGGAATACAGTTTGACCCAAGCTGTGTTTTACATCTGTCATCAATTCAAGTAATTAGGCCAGATGTAGTGACTGCATTTCTAATTTTACAAGTTCTGGCTTACTGGTTAAATTACCATGAATTATCAAAGTTAAAAATTGCCATGTTTTTCTCATTCAATATACGTTTCATGATGTGTATTGACAGTGTCCTATAATATACCCATTTATTTCAGTGCCTTATTTTGAATGCAATATTTTGCTAATGGTTAAAGAACTGCTCTCCGAAGGATGAACTACTTTTCATTAAAAGGATCTGTGAAATAATTTACATTTATGAAATAGTTATTTGTGGCTATATTTGTAATTTTTATTTGACTCAGTGTGAGAATCAACAAATGTTTATTAAGTGCTTTTGTTTTAATCAACATTACCTTCATTTAATACTCAGAAATGTAAAAGTGGGTTTTTTTTTAAGAACCAGCTTCTGTGGTCCTATGGTCGCATTTATAGTTTAAATCATCATTTGTGTCCCAAGCAGAGCCAGTGTATAGACTTGTCAGTGGGGTTTATTCCTTTGTTCTGTGTTCCAGCAGACAAACCATTTATGTAAAATTAAAGGAAAAAAAGGTCATCACATTAAACCCTCAAATAGAAGTGGCTTATTGGGTTCACTGACATTGGGCTCTTTGTTTTAAAGATGGTGGGTTTTGCACATGAAGTCATGGTAGAAATTTATGAAATGCAGATGTGCTAATGTGCTCCTTAAGTCTCCAGTGACCACATTCAGGGACAGTCACTGTCCCCCTTGACAGAGGTTATGTGGTGTGTGCCATGGTTGGGGTTTTGTGGGTCTCCAGCCCACTCAGTCCTGAGCCTGTGCTACCAGCAAGAAGTGGTAAAAAGATCAGAATTGGGGTCTGGTGGGAAGATGGAGGTACTGAGGGCTGTATCTTTAAAGGGGTGGATGTAGGAGAGCTGTTTGGGGTGCCACACACCTGCAACCCCGCACTTAGGAAGCTAAGCCAGGAAGATCACCGCGAGCTTGAGGCAACCTGTACTATATAGAGAGACCCTGTCTTTCAAAAAAGGAGCCCTCTGCCCTTCTGTGTGTCTCATTCAGACCTAAAAGCAACAGACCACCTAACTGACACCGCCCAAACCTGAGCCAAAGCAGTGTCAGTCGACCCCTCTCGGATACACTGGCGAAAGGCTGACACCTCAGTTTGTAGTTCTCATTAAAAGCCAGATGACTCAATTATTGTAATCCTGCTGCTTTATCTCATTAAAATCTAATTTATATTTTTTTATGAAAGGCCACATAAGAGAAACAACCATCACTGTAAGTAGAATAGTAGCTGTTAATGAAAACACCTTGTCTCGCCGCATCAGACGTGTTCTGCAGTCCTGGCACTGCAGGGCACACTCATATCCCAGCACTCAGGAGGCTGAAGCAGGAGGATCATTTGAGCCTTGTAGCCAAAAAAGAAAAAGAACTGTGTGTTTTATTAGAAGTGTTGGGAGTTAATGGTTTGTATTTTTTATTGTTATTTTTTTTTTATTGTTATTTATTTTTGGTATCAGGGATCGAACGTACTACCACACGCTTGCAAGGCAGGCACTTATGCTGCTGAACTAAATCCCCAGCCTAAGTTTTTAGGGCAGTGTATTCACAGGGTCTATAACCATCACTACAATCTAAGTAAATTTTCATCCTTCTAACATCCCATGTCTATTGGTAACCGTGCTCTGCTCCAGCTGCAGACAACCAAAACCCTGTTCTGACTGTGTAACTGCCTGCTGTAGACACTGCAAGTGGAATCGTCCAGGACGTGCTCTTTGGTGACTGTTCTCAACTAGCAGTGTTTCCAGGGCTCATCTTTCTAGTGCCATTGTGTGGGCAGAGCACATTCGGTGTGTCCATTCATAGCCTGACAATCATTTGGGTTTTTCCCACATTGTAGCTTTCTCATATATATGTTTCTGCTTGTGAACATTCATGTTCACATTTGTACACATCAGAGTGGAAGACGGCTTGCAGGACCACATGGTAACTAACATTTTGGGGAACCACCGAACTCCCAGAGGCCTGCAGCTGTTCTGTTCCACCAGCAGTGCAAATTCTCTTTCCCTGCGCCTTCCCCAGGCACGGTACAGGTGAACTGTATGTTGTTTTTTTGGGTTTTTTCCCATTACAGCAAGCCGCTGTGGACGGGAAGAGATGTCTCCTGGCTGTGCCTTTTACTTCTCTAATGATTTCTATGTGCTTATTGTCCTTGTGTACTGTGTCTTTAGAAGAATGTGCCTTTGCCCACTTCTAAGTTAATGTTTTCTATTATTTACATGTTCCAGTATAAATCTCTTTGTAATTTGCCCATATTTGCTCCCGCCCTGTGGCTTGTGTTTGCCTGTGTGGAACTGTCTACTGCCTCTAGTGGTGCAGCTGTAACCCTAGCACTCTGGAAGGGCGAGGCAGGAGGATCCCAAGTCTGAGTCCTGCTGAGCAATAGAAAGGGCGAGGAGTATAGTCCAGTTGGTCTTGGGTCCAATCCCCAGTATACCAAACAAAAAAGAAAACCGGTTCCTGCAGTTTTTCTGTGTGTGTGTGTGTGTGTGTGTGTGTGTGTGTGTGAGAGAGAGAGAGAGAGAGAGAGTGGGGTGCAGGTGTGGGTGTGCCTGGAGAGTAAATCCAGGGCTTGGCACTGAACTGCATTCCCAGCCACTTGTTAAAATTTTGAGACAGGGTCTGGCTCTGCTTCTAAACTGCCAGGCTGGACCCAAACTCGTCACCCTTCTGCCTCCGCCTCCTGGCATGTTGGGATGACGGCTGTGCCACTGTTACAGCAGACTGGGCGTGACAATGCCGGCTGGGGAGTGAAGGGGACCTGGCAACCACGAGGTCCCAGGGCAACACAAGGACCTGTAGGTAAAAGCTGGGAAAGCCGTCAGGTGGGCAAGAGTGGCCATCGGAGAGGCTGTCCTGCCTGGGTTTGCGGTAACCACGCGTCATTTCTCAGACGCGTATGTACTTTCCTGTTTGCTTTCACCCTCTTTTTCTTTATTCACCCAAGTTAACTTTGCAGAACTGGTTTCTGCCATACCCACGTACCCAAGGGTTTTCAAATAAATGTTTGGCATCGTTTTTGCCTTGTCTCCTCCAATTATTTGTTCAGGTAAGGACCTGGGATACTTTTTTTAGCATTGGGAATCGAACTCAGGACCTTGCTTGCTAGGCAGGCACTTTTGCAGCTGAGCTATGTCCCCAGCAGTTTTTTTGTTTGTTTTTTTTCTTGGTACCGGGGATTGAACTCACGACCTCACACTTAAGTGCTGGAGCCACTGAGCTAAATCCCCGGCCTGGACCATGGGATACTTTGGATTGGTGAGCCTTTCTTTTTTTTTGTTTTGAGGGTCTTACTATATAGTTCAGGCTGGCCTCAAACTCATTATGTAGCCTATGCTGCCCTTGAACTCATGGTGATCCTCCTGCTTCCCGGTGCTGGGACTACAGGCCAGCACCACCACGGTGGCCTGGCAAGCCATTTCTAAAACCGCCATATCGTACCACCACCGGTGCAGCACATTTTTTTCATTCTGTAGTCTAGCTTGTATTTCCAAATCCTAAAAAACAACTGTCTGCCTACTATGAAGATTGGCTTTGCTCTTTTTATTTTTATTTTTATTTTTGTTTTTAGATGGAGGCTCGCTGTGTTCGGTAAACTCATTAGGTGGCCTAGAAAGGCCAATTCGCAGCGATCCTCCTGCCTCAGCCTCCCAAGTGTGGGGATTACAGGCGTGTGCAGCCCCAACGGGGTCAGGTTGCTCCCTTGAAATGGTTTGTGGGACACAGGTGACACAGCTCAGCGGCACAGCGCCTGCCTGGCGAGGGCGAGGCCCCGAGTTTGATCTCGGGTACAGGGTACAGTGTACAGGGAGCGCGCCACTGAGTGAACGTACTGCCTTTGGCGCCGCCTCACACTGAGGTCTCCACGCCCTTAAGGGGCCGCGTCGGGGCTGCAAGCCCGCGCCGCCCGCCCCGCGGAGTTCCGGCGGCCGTGGGCAGGGTCGGGCTGCTGCGCCCCGTGCGCCCCCGGCCAGCGCCGTTGGTGACACCCGCTCCCCAGGGCCGGCGCGGGCCGGGCGGTGCGGGGCGTATCTGCCCTTCGTCCGTCCGTCAGTCTGTCTGTCTGTGGGGCAGAGTCCGGACGGCGGGGCTGCTGGGATGGAGGAGCGCGCGGGACCCGGCCCGAACCCGGAGCCGGACCCGAACCCGGAGCCGGACCCTGACCTGGAGCCCGACCCGGACCCGGACCCGGAGCCGGACCCGGAGCGGGACCCTGACCTGGAGCCGGACCCACATCCAGAGCCCGGCCCGGACCCGGCCACCGCCGCGGCGCTCTTGGCGCGGGCTTCGGTGAGCGCGGCCAGCGAGGGCGAAGGGCAGCAGGCGCGGAGGACGGGGCGGCCCGGGCCGGGCAGGGCCTCGGGGGGCAGGGCCCGGGCTGCGCTCCATCGCCGAGGCCGGAGGACCGCCGGCACCGCGGGCTCCAGGCCACCCCGAGGCTCCCGGCCCAGGGAGGTTCGAAGCCCGGGTGCGGTGGGGGCAGAGCCCCTCGGGGGCGGCCCGCCTGGCCTCCCGGCTTTGGGGTTGAAATAACCGTGGGGGAGCACGCAGCCCGCCCCGGGCGGCTGCTGGGCAGGAAGCTTGCGCGGCGCGGATAAAGCCTTATCTGCGCGCCCTCCCTCCAGAGCCCGCGTGGCTGCAGATGGCTGGGCAGGCGCAGCCCTGACCCCCACCGCGCCCCGCGGAGGATGGGGGCTCCCGGTGTCCTTGGAGAGATGACGCTGTCCGGGTTGGGTTTGGGGACACCCGCACGCTGCAGCCCCGGCTCGCCTCCCGGGTGCCACAGTCACAGGCAAGAGACAGCACTGTCCGGGGACCAGCAACGGCCAGTGTGTGACTGTTTTTTTGCTCAAAGTATATTTTGAGCATTTACTACCAACCTCCCATTCCAGGTACGGGAGGCACACAGGTCACGGAGGCTGCCCCCCGAGTTTCTGTCCCGGTAGGGAGAGGTGGGAAGTAAAGCAAGATGCACCAGACAGGACCCAGCCGTGACAGGGACTGGGCAGTGGGGAAGAGCCCGCGAGGCGATGGCAGGAGTGCGCGGCACTCCAGTCATCCAGGAGCTTCCTGGCACGGAGGAGGTGGGAAGTGGGGTGCTCTCGCTGGAGAGGTGCTGGGAGTGCGCTTGGGGCTGCCCAGGGCCTCCTGAAGACCGTGGTGAGGACGCGGGATCATTCAGACTAACAGCAAGAGAGCAGGAGACACGATCTGATTCCTACTGAAAGCTCCCTAGCGGGCATCGTGGGGTGTGCCCTGGAATGCCAGCCCTCTAGAAGGTGGAGGCAAGATGACTGAAACTTCCTGGGAAATTTAGAGACCTAACAGGACCCTGTCACAAGCCAAGTGGTGGCACGTGTCTGTAATTCCCGCTCTTGGGAGGCTGAGGCAGGAGGAGTGGTCAAAGCCGGCTCCGTGGTGAGGTCAAGGCCAGCCTGAGCTACACAGTGCGACTGTCACAAAACAGGACCATCTAAAGAAGGGCTAAGGATGTCACTTAGCGTGAAGGCCCCGAGTTCAATCCCAGTACTGCCCTGCCCCTCTAAAAAAAGCTCAACTTGCCAGCGAGGTTGTATAAAATGAAACCAGACGCACAGAAGCCACTGACAGATGAGAAGGGGAAACTGGAAAAGACAGTCCAGAGTGTGCCCAGGCTTTGGGCCTGAGCCCGGAGCGGGCCAGGGGTGGGCTCCACAGTGGGGTGGACGCAGGCTAGGTCATGACCACTCTGAGCAAAGATGCTCGTCAGGCAGCAGGCATGTGAATATATACATTTTTCTCTCTTATTCCCCTTCAGGTCCATAAACATTACTTTTTTCTTTCTTGGGGGGTAACAGGGATTGAACTCACGACCTCGCACTTGCCAGGCAGGCACTTACGCTGCTGAGCTAAATCCCCAGCCCAACATTACTTTCTGTCAGTGATAAACAGCCTTCAAGGCAAAGTGGAGCAAAGAGGTTTCTGAAAAAGTCCACAAACACCCTCCAGTCTGGGGGCTGCTGGTGAGGAGGAGCTGCTTGTGTCTGTGGGTACAGGGCTGTTGCCATGTCTCCTCCAGGACAGCAGAGCCAGCCGCCTCTCGTTCTGCACCAAGATGTGCTATGGCTTCGGGGGCATCCCCAACCAGGTGGCCACCAGTGCCACCTCCTTCTACCTGCAGCTCTTCCTGCTGGACGTGGCCCAGGTGAGTGTGGGCAGCAGCCCAGGCCAAACTGGCATCTCCCCCTGCATCTGATCATCCCCTGCCACTACCCTTGGTGGACAGCCTTTGACCCAAGCCTCAAAAAAACCCAAGTGTGACAGGCAGCAGCCTCACAGGTGTACACCGCGGGCTGCTCCCAGCAGGAGAGAAGCAGTGCGAATGCCCTGCAGTAGAGCAGCAGGTGAACAAAACGGTATTAACCCGCACAGCCGGCCCTGTGCACCTATTCAAACGCATGTCCACCAGCCGACTGCAGACAGCACTGTCAGAAATGCTAGTAGTGTGGCACAGTATGTAAAGTGACCTCCTTTTCACAGAACAAGATGGGTCCCAGATGTGTGTACATGGGTACGTGTATGCACGTGTCTAGACACAGTTAAGACAAGTTTGGAGAAAACTTAAGGATATATGCCCCGATGTTAGTGTTGGCTGTAGGATGGCATGGTGGAGGATAGAAGATAAGCTAGAGTAAATTTTTAAACTGGGCATAGTGGTGCACGCCTATCATCCCAACACCTGGGAGGCTGAGGCAGGAGGATCACTGCAAGTTTGTGGCCACCCTAGGCTATGTAGTGAGTTCAAGACCAACCTGTACTGTGGAATGAGACCTTGTCTCCAAAAAAATTTTTTTTTGAAATAAGGTCGTCATGATTTATTTAATGATACTGACCTGGTCCCTTAACATAAAATTGTAAATGTCAAACTCACAGAAAGACTTGCATGAAAGGATGATCTTCATACTGCTTCTGCAGGCCTGGGGATTTAGCCCAGTGGTGTAAGTGCCAGCCTGGCAAATGCAAGCACGAGGTCGTGTTTGATCCCTGGTACCAAAAAAAAATGCTGCTTCTGCAGTTGCTTCAGGATAATGGGATCTCAGCTGAGCTGGGCTTAATGGTTTTCTGTATCCTTTGAATTTTTTTAAATGAGTGTATGGTTCATGTAGTCGGAAAAATCAATTCATTATTTGTGAACCACAGTTTGCCTCTGTCAGCTGGGCAAGGGAGGCCTATGGGTGAAGGGTGCAGGTGAGTTTGCTCCACAGGTGACAGGGCAGGGTGGTGATGGGGTGCTGGTGGGATTCCCAGGACCCCCTCCCCCCGGGTTTCAGATCCCGGCTGCTCAGGTGTCCCTCGTGCTGTTTGGAGGCAAGGTGTCCGGGGCAGTAGCCGACCCCGTGGCTGGCTTCTTCATCAACAGAAGCAGGAGGACAGGATCTGCACAGCTCATGCCCTGGTGAGCAGCCCCGGGGGCTTCAGGTCCAGGAGCCCAGCTCCAGTTCCTAGGTCATCTTTGGTCATGACCTGTCTCAGTGGACGCTGGGGATCGAGCCTGGATGGTACCAAGAGGGTCAGGGAGGGCCCGAGGGCAGGCTTGGGTCACCCTTACCAGATGGCACAGGGCCTGCCAGGTCTGCAGGGCTCGAAGGCTCAATGGCGTGGAAGGTCTCTGAGCGGACGTGAGGCCTGCGTATGACCCCATCCTTAACACGGGGAGCTGCACCCCAACTGCCCCTCGGTGACTCTCACTGCCCAGCCTGGGTGGCGCAGGGCCCGTCCCGGCGCTGCGCTCCACGTCGGCTGTGCTCCCCAGGGTGCTGGGCTGCACGCCCTTCCTCAGCCTGGCCTACTTCTTCCTGTGGTTCCTGCCTCCCTTCTCCAGCCTGCGAGGCCTCTGGTACACCACGTTCTCCTGCCTCTTCCAGGCCCTGGCCACGGTAAGCAGGCAGCCTCCTTTCTTGGGCTGGGTTCGGATGGACCCTACTGCTGGCGATGGTTACTCCTAGGAAAACCACAAGTCCACTACCGTTGCCCACTCACGGGTGCGTGGGCACTGATCATGAGCTCTGCCAGCCTGTTTGATCCTCTGACTCTGAGGTTCAGATGACCAGGAGAGACAGACCACCCACTGAGTGCCAGCCTTGGATAGAGTGGGCATGGGTCTCCATGGGGCAAAGAGGGGTGGCAGGGACCACCCTAAGGTCCACCAGGCCACCCCAGTTCTTCCAGGTGCCCTACACAGCGCTCACCATGCTGCTCACCTCGAGTCCTAAGGAGCGGGACTCTGCCACCGCATACCGTGAGTGCAGCCCAGGGAGGTGGTGGGGGGAGCTACCCCCAGAACCTGGTGGCTGGCTTGGTCATCTGTGTGCCATGTCTCCAGGGATGACAATGGAGATGGTAGGGACACTGATGGGAGCCACCGTCCATGGGCTGATTGTGTCCGGTGCCCACAGGTCCAACCACTGTGAGCTCCCTGGGCCTGCTGCTGTGTCCCCGGACGCAGTGAGTACTCACAGCGGCTGCCACACCCTCTGAGGTTTTGGGTGGTTCACCGTGCCCTTATTTCTTCTCTGCCCCTCTAGCCAAGAGCATGAGCCCACCCCTCTGTAACCCTGCAGGCAGGAGTGCAGCTGAGGAGAGAGCTCAGTGGCACTTCTCCAGTCCTTAGTGCCACACAGGCACCTCTCAGAGGCTCTGGCCACTGCAGGGCGGCTCCTTGCCATGGGCCCAAGGATAGAGGCATACCATTGCAGGCCCGAGGACTTGGTGGAACAGAGCTGCTCACCTCCCAGGGTCCAGGGCCAGAGAGTCCCCACACTCCTACCTTGGGGCCTCCTGGTACTGTCCTCAGATCAGGATTGCACCACCTTGATCCCCTGATGAGTGCAGGGCGCCCCAGGCTCAAACACCTTTTAGGAGCCCCTGCCCTCAATGCAGGAGACTTCGGTGCAGGCCCTGATCCTGCAGGGCAGGAGCGAAGCTGGGGCTGTCTAAACTTTTGGACTAAACTGTACTTGTCCCTCTGTGCCCAGTGGGAGTCCGCTGCCTGCCCTCAGCCCGTGTCTGTCCTGTCCCCCAGGGCCGCCTCTACTCCATCGCAGCTGCCGTGGTTGCTGCAACTTACCCGGTGTGCGTCAGTCTGCTCTGCCTCGGTGTCCGGGAGCAGCCAGGTACGGAGGTGGGGTGAGGCCATGGGAGCCGGGAGCTGGGGCCAGGGCTCCTCCTGGGGCTTTAAACTCTGCCAAGGCGTTCCTTCCTGTGTTACAGGCCCTGCTGACCCGGGCCCAGGCCACGGCCTCGGCTTTCTGACTGGCCTGGGTCTCACCACCCGACACCCACCCTATGTGAAGCTGGTGGTCTCCTTCCTGTTCATCTCAGCTGCTGTGCAGGTACTGCGGCGGCTGACTCCACCCTGGCCCCGCAGGCCCCACGGTGGCTCAGGGTGCTGACCTACCCACGCCACAGTCAGCCTTGAGTTTTACAGCAGGAAACAGGCTGGAGCCTCGAGGAGGGAACTGGGTGGGGCTCCAGGGAGGCCAAGGTCCTAGGAGGCTGAGGGTGTCCAGTCACCCCAGTCTCAGCTGTGCAAGGGATGACGGTGGGCAGGAATGGGGTTATCCCTATGCATCCTTTGGGGGAGGTGACAGCACGATGGTGGCCGCAGCCTGAGTTGGAGGTCCCAGAGGAAAAGCCAGGCTCGAGGGCCCGCCCTTGCCCTTGCCTCCTGAGTTGCTGTCCTGTGCCTGTGTCCGCATCCTGTCCATGCCCTCAGGTGGAGCAGAGCTACCTGGTCCTGTTCTGTACCCATGCAGCCCAGCTCCGAGAACACGTCCAGGGCCTGGTGCTGACTGTCCTGGTGAGGGGCTGGCTGGCGGGGGCCAGGTCACTTAGGGGCCTCAACCAGGGTTCCGAGTGACCAGAGTTCCAGTGCTCAGCGTTCTGGACTCTGCTTTGGCCACAGTCACTTGCTATAGCTCAGCACACACTGTGGCCGGGCTCAGTTACCTGCCCTGGCCTGAGCCGGAGGTTGAGGTCCTGGGTGTGGCACTGGCTGCAGGGCCCTGGCACAGTGACACTATCTCCTCTCAGGTCTCGGCTGTGCTGAGCACCCCACTGTGGGAGTGGGTTCTCCAGCGATTTGGGAAGAGGCCGTCGGCCCTTGGCATCTGTGTGAGTGCGACAGGAAGGGAGGCTGGGGCCATGGGGGTGGGAAACTGGCAGGGAGGCTCCCACGGGGCTGCAGCGCTTGGCTTGGGCCTCACTGTTAACCAGTGGTCAGTGGGTGTGTGGTGAGCAAGCCAGGGCGTGGTGGTGGGACAGCGCGTGCATCTGTGTCCCCAGGTGATGGTGCCTTTCTCCATCTTGCTGGCTGCTCTGCCCACAGCATCCGTGGCCTATGTGGTGGCCTTTGTCTCTGGCATGAGCATTTCTGTGGCCTTGCTGCTCCCCTGGTAGGTCGGGGCAGGTGGGAGAGGGGCTCGGCCTCAGAGGCCCTGGGAGAGGGCACCCACGACAGAGCCATCGGCGTGGCAGGAGCACACGTGCTGCTGTGTGCGGGCTGGTCCTGGGCCGAGGGAGCCAGCCCGGCCTCTGTCCCTAGAGAGCTCCAAGCTGCCGAGGTCCAGGTGACCGGCAGGGCTGACCCACACCTCTGGCCCAGGTCCATGCTTCCAGACGTGGTGGACGACTTCCAGCGGCAGAGCCAGCACCACGGCCCCGGCCTGGAGACCATCTTCTATTCCTCCTACGTCTTCTTCACCAAGCTCTCAAGCGCGTGCGCCCTGGGCATCTCCACCCTCAGTCTAGAGTCAGTCCCAAGGCTGGGGAAACCCAGGGGCACAGGAGCCCGGCAGGGTGGGAAGCAGAGGGCAGAGCCGCCACCCTAACCGGTGCAGGCCCCGGGTGTCTGGGCACAGCCGCGCTCTGTGCCGAGTGGGGAGCCACCCCCACTTCTAGGGCACACGGTGAGGGGCCTTTCCTGGCCGGCGCCCCCTGCGGAAGCCCGAGCTCGTGGTGTTCACAGCTCTCTGAACTCTCCAGTGCCCCCCACCCGCCCTCGCCATCACTTGGTCCAGAGTCCAGGAGCAGGAGGGGCACACAGCTGCCCCTGACCGGGCGGGGCTTGTTTCTCCAGGTTTGCGGGGTACAAGGTGGAAGCCTGCAAGCAAGCGGCCGAGGTGGTGGTGGCCCTCAAGGTCCTCATCGGTGCCGTGCCCACCTGCCTGATCCTTGTGGGTCTGTGCGTCCTCATGGTCGGCCCTGCTCCCTCAGGGCAAGAGCCGGACACTGCCCGGCAGCACCGCCTCCACAGGTGGGCACCGTGCATCCTGTAATGGGCAGGGCCATCGACTCGGGGACTGCCAGCCTGCAGTGTGCTGCCCCAGCGGGCAGTCCCGCCTTGGGGGGCTGCTCCCTTAGTTTCGGGTCGCCATGTGCTTCCAGGTCTTCTGTTCTCGCCCCTGCCCAACTCGTGGCCTCCTCTGAAACACCTTGCGGATGGAGGTGCATGCAGACCCCTCTGGGGCCCCTGTTCATCAGGGGCTGCCACAGCTGCCTCCGTCCGGCCCACCTGCCTTCGGACGTGGGCTCCTGTTAGCCACGGCTTCGGTCTCCATGAGCCCCACGTCCGAGGTCCCCGGGCTGCGCCCCTGACGCTGGCCTGGTGCTGTGGTGCTGTGCTGCAGGCTGTGCGCCCCGCCGACCCCTCACCGCATGCTTCCCCTTCGCTTTTTCTCTTCCCACAGGAAGAGCAGCCTCAGCCTTGTGTCAGATTCCAGAGGCCTCCTGTGAGCCAAGCCTCGGAGTGGAGCGGGGCGGCTCCTGGGCCCCAGGCTCTGTGCCCATCTCTTGGCGCCCATCTCTTGGTGGTTTAGTGCAGGCACGTGACCATCCTTGGTGGCCGGGCTCCAGGATGCCCGCCTGACATCTGCCGGCGGCCACAGCGTCTCTGGCCTGTGACCCTGAGCACAAGGCTCAGGCCTGTCCAGCACCCTGCGGCACCATTCCTGCAAGCAAGAGCCTCTGCCAGGGCGGCCTAGAGACTCCTGCAGGGAGGGACAGACAGACTGCTGAACACCCAGAGGCTGCGGCATGAGGAGACAAAGCTGAGGACACATGGGGTGCAGAGATCCAGAGACCAACCTGGGGGGAAAGAGGGCACCGCAGGGGGCTGAGGGCCAGGTGGTGCCCAGCCCCCGGCTCCGTCACAGGAGTTAGCGGCACTTCTTCTAATCAGGGACAGAGGCTGGCACAGGCCACCAGAGGTCACGTGTTTCACCAGCACAGGCGCTTCGTGTGGCAGTTTTTCTTAAACTCTTATTTTATTAAAGCACAGAAACTGGAGTCTTCTTAAGGCCATGTCTTTGGGGAAGAAAGATCTGCCAAGGTTTATTTTTTACAACACAAGTTTAAGGGAAACGCCAAAGAGCATCTGCAGAGCCGCTGAGGAGAACAGCGGGGCGTCCGGGGCCCCTGCCTGAGCCCCGTGTCCCCAGTGCAGGGCCTCGGACCAGCGTCAGCACCTGGGAGCAGGCTTCCTTCTTGCCTTCGCCAGGACACAGGTGGTGGCTCTGAGTGAGCTGGGCCTGGGGGTGGGTGGGGACGCTCCAGAAGGCGTCAGAGGAACTGCTGTGGCCACACGATCAGAGTTTGCTGAGCGGACAGGACGATGTGTGGTCACCCACCTCCTAAACAGAACCGGCTTCACTGGTGCCCAGCTTTTCCTCCAAGCTGTCTGCCGTGCCACTCTCACCCGTCCCGGCCAGCCCGCTGTCCAGCTGCTGCACCTGGCCCCAGCAGGAGGAGGCCAGGGGAGGGAGAGGGTGGGACTGCAGATGGCTTCCTTTTTTTTTTTTAAATATTTTTGAGACAAGGTCTCGCTATGCAGTTCAGGCTGGCCTCGAGCTCACTGTGTAGCCCAGGCTAGCCTGGAACACACAGCAGTCCTCCTGCCTCAGCCTTCTGAGTGCTGGTGTGAACAGATGTGCACCACCACGCCCTGCTTGCTTCCGTTTTTGTCATAACAGGCTGGCTGACTTGTTTAGCAAACTGGAGCCTTGTTTTTCCAAGGACTTTCGTGTTGGAGATGGTGCGGCCATGTGGGCCCAGCGGACCCTGAAACCCTGGGCTGCTACTTTAATCTCCTGAAGGGCTGAACATTTCTTTTTTTTTTTTTTTTTTTTTTTGCATCAGGAATGGAACTCAGGCTGGTGCTGGGTTAAGTGGATGACATCTGCGTGTGCCGGGCAAGGGCACCTGTGGCGCTGTCAGTCTTGGGGAACACTCTGCCTCGTACCCTGGCTCGCCCGCCTCGCCCACCTCGCCCTCCACCTGCGTCCTTCTCTGCTGTGCCTTCAGGGCATGGGCAGTGTGCTCTGACTGGCCAGGCTTCTGTGGGGTGGCCGCCTCAGGGAGCGCCCTTCAGGCTCTCACCTGATACAGCCTCATTCTCGAGCAGGAAAGGTGTCTGACAGCCACCTGACACTTGGGAGCCAGGGGTACACAGTAGTGCACACCTGTTATCCCAGCACTGGGGAGGCTGAGGCAGGAAGACTGCTGTGAGTTTAAGGCCTGCCTGAACTGCACAGCGAGATCTTGTCTCAAAACAGAAAAGCTACAGCTATAACACTACTTGACCTCAGGATAAACTACACAAACAGAGTGTAGCAACCAAACCAGCCTGGTAAAACACACATAGATCAGTGGAGCACAAAAGAGCCCAGTGTGTATGTGGGCCAATTTCCCAAGATGAGTACAATTATCATGTATTACAAACGCATACTAATAAAAATGTTTTTTACAAACCCAGAAATAGGGGCTGGGGATTTAGCTCAGCGGCATAAGCACCTGCCTTGCAAGCAGGCTGTCGTGAGTTTGATTCCTGGTACTGATAAAAAACAAAACAGAAATGAACCCACACATTTAAAACCAACTTTTTATTTGAGATGGGATCTTGAGATGGGCTATGTAGTCTAGGCTAGCTTTGAACTCACGATGCAGCCCAGGGTGCCCTCAAGCTCATGGCGATCCTCCCCCCTCAGCCTCTTGAGAGTTGGGATTACAGGCCTGTGCCACCACACATTGGACTTTGACAAAGGTGCCAAGTACACAGAATGAGGAAAGAATAAGTCTCTTCAATAAATGGTGCTGGGTGTTGCAGCCGTTGAAGCTGAATACACGGGCAGGACTGGGTGTGGCCTGGGCATGGCTGACCGGAGAACGAGGAGACACCTCAGGGGCAAGATAGGCCACAGCTGAGGCCACCCGGAGACTTTCTGGATCGTTTTCCTTAACTAGCATCGTCTGTTGCTCTGAGGGTCCTGCTCAGGTTTCCTCCATTGTCCACTCAACTCCTTGCTTGTTCTGATTAAACATGGGCTGCCCAGGGTCAGCCGGCTGGCTAGCAGAGTTAGGAGCTCTGCAGAGGATTTCAGTCCTCTTGCAGCCCTGGGACCATGCCGTGTGTCTCATTCCTTTGGGACTTTGCTGTGCACTTGTTTGGAGGACTGGAGATCTAGGCGCAGACTTCAACAGCTGGGAAAACTGGACCTCAATTTACAGAGAATAAAATTAGCTGGTCGTGGAGACACATGCCTGTAATTCCTGCTCTCTGGGAAGCAGAGGCAGGAGACTCAGAAGTCCAGTCTGGGGAACTTTGTGAAACCCTGTCTTCAAACTAAAAAAAAAGGTGTGTGTGTGGGTGGTATGTAGCTCACAGTGCAAAGGTCCTGGGTTCAGTCTCTAGTACTGAAAAAATACACACATACGAAGTGTAAGACTTGGTACCATCGAGCAGCTAGAAGAAACGGCAGGGGAATGCTTCGTAACCATTATGTGGCTTGAAGATCTTAATATTAATATATATTAATATTAATACTCATTGAGTTCTACATGCCTCACTTAACCATATGTCAAATTCTTCTTCTGTACCAGGAATTCTTCTGTCATGGTATCTGTGAACATTTTTTTTTTCTGTCTTTTTCTTTTCTTTTTTCTGTCTTTTTCTTTTTTATCGGTACCGGGGATCGAACTCACGACTGCCTGCTTGCAAGGCAGGCGCTTATGCCGCTGAGCTAAATCCCCAGCCCCTATGAACATTTTTTTACTGTCATTTGTGGTATCTCCTACTTATTCCTTGACTCCAATCCATCTTAAGTTATTCTTCTTTGCCTAATCTAGCACCACTGGAGTGATTTCTCTTGGCTCCTTGCTATTTTTGAGAAATCTTTCTTTTCCTGGTCGCTAACTGCAAGCTTATCTTCAGTCTCTGAGATCCTGTCCTCACATCGGCCTAATCGGCTTCAAATACTTTCAGTGGGGTTTTTATTCTCCTGGATATCTGCTTGAATCTGCTTTATGGATTCCATTTCTTTACTGTACTGGGCCATCATAATTTTCTTAACATTGTCTATTTTTTTGTCTGTGTCTGCTCTAACGTCGTAAGCATGGTATGCATTTTAGTAATCTCTGTAGTCATCTGAGAGGTTGTTTCTGATTTCATCTTTCCAGAGCCTCATTCAGCTGCTTTGTTGTTTCCACTTCCGAGAGGCCTGGGGGTGCTCTCAGAGTGTCCCAGCTCGCTGTCCCCTGGATTTGCCTTTGGGGAGCTGGGTGTCTGGGGCTGCGTTTTGCTTACCTGTCTTCTCATTTCATTTTCTCTCTTACTTTAGTTTATTCCTGGGGTGATGCTTGTAGGTTGTCTATGGTGGGTTGCTTTTTTGTAGTATGAGGGAACCCGCAGGTGATGATTCCTTGTCTGAGGTATCTTCCAGGTGTAGCTGGTTTTTGGGTTTTGAGTCTGTTGGAAGATCTTACCTCTTGGGGCTGGGGATTTAGCTCAGTGGCATAAGTGCCTGCCTGCAAGGCAGTTGTGAGTTCGATCCCTGGTACTGATTTAAAAAAAAAAAGATCTTACCTCTTTAGTCTGTTGGAAAAGTCTGTGAAAAGAAGTTGCTTGTTTGGTCTAGTTCCTGGTTCTTTGGTACTGTGCCAACCATATTTTGTGTGACCTTTAGTCAATCTCAGTTATGAAATACCAGGTCCAACAGCTGTTTAGAGCAATTATGTCAATTTTGGCTACTGTGGTACCAATAGCATCAAACAGCCTAGAAAACAAGAAACTGAACCCTTAATTTTCCACTTTTAACTGTATGAATCACATTTGCGAATATATAACAAAATCTAGTATGGCTGGGGCTTTAGCTCAGTGGTACAAGCGCCTGACTGGCAAGTGCAAGGTCATGAGTTCTGTCCCCAGTGCCCCCACAAAAAATACTATAAACAATAAAATAAAATCATAAATATTTACCAAAAAAAATCTAAAAGCAGAAATTATATGCATTAAGTCCTTTAATATGTCAATTTTGCCCTCAGGGGTTCAAATTTATAATGGATTAAGGGTAAAACAGAGAAGTGGAAGAAGAGAATAAGGTTGGAGGACAAAGGGGGATCACAGCAACTTTGGGGAACTGGGGAGGACTGAAGGAAGCGAGAAATGGAAGAGGTAAAAAGCACAGAGCCACACCCACAAAAATGCTAGAAACCAGGTTGACACGCATATAAAAACAACGAAGGAGAAGCAGAAAAAAAAAAAAAAAAGAAAAGAGAAAAACTAAAGGCCACTTCCAGGATTTCTCTGGTTTCACTAGCAGACAACTTGTGGAAAGAGTCCCAAAACATGCTCATCTGCCCAGCAAGCCAGCAGTCGCTTTCTGGCAGGGCAGTGGGTAACCTCAGCAGGCTGCCCCGAGACCACTCACTGGGCTTGCTGCCACCCCAGCAATGTCCGTGGTCTGTGCCCGATGGGAGCTGCTGGAGGGAGCTGGCAGCAGTTCTGGCCCAACTCCAAGGTGGCTCCGGCTAAGTGCTCTCTCCTGCGGGAGGACCGAGTTCTCGGCACTAGCCGCCTGCCAGTGCAGTCCTCCACGTCCACCGCTCCCCTCCACTGCCGTCTCTCTGCAGAGGCCTCCGGGGTCAGCAGCAGTTGCCATCACCCTGGCCGTGCGTCCCCAGGCCCAAACAGCTCTTCCTGCACAGTGAGTGTCTCAGGGCACAAGCCTCTGATGACTGTGCCCTCTTCCTTGAAGTTTTTCTTTTCACACTCTCTAGGTTTCAACTCACTTCAGCTTCTTCCTGGGTCCAGACGACCCACTTCCTCCCTTCTTGTCTTCTCGATATTCCAGGGTCTGGGCAGTGACTTTCAGAGAGACCGTTTTTCTGCTCCACAGGTTTTAATAGGTAGACCTTGGAAACAACCTAAATGCTCATCGACTGAGGAATAGATAAAAAAAATGTGGTCTTTTTATACAATGGAGCACTACTCAGCCGTAAGGAAGGGTAAACTAGACTTTTATAGGTAAATGGTCGCAACAGTTATACTACTGATTTCTCTAAGTTCACTATAGAGAACGATTTGTGCTGGGATTGTTCGGACAATTGAATGCAGATGTCTTGTGCTCCAGAATGATCTGGGGATAAAAATGCACCATGTATGTACCATTGCTGTCCCCTGATTGACATGTTTTCAAACTTTTATGTTTCTCTTTGAAATAAAAGGGATTTGAAAAAAACCCAGCAAATCTTAATTACCTCCAGATGCTATGGAAGACTGGACTGAGGCAGGACACACTGAGGAGAGAGGGAAACCTGTCTGACAGGTCCTGGTGATGTTCTGGTTCTAAATTAGGTGGTGGGTGATGCATTTCACAGTGAGCCCCGACTTTCTGCTATTCATGTTGTAAACTGTGCTCCTTTTTCTGTAGGAGTGACAAGTTCTTGCTATGTAGTTCAGCTGGCCTGGAACTCACGGGAGCCCTCTTGCCTCAGCCTCCCACGTGGGGGATACAGGTGTGCAACACCCCACACCCAGCTCATATCTTACTTTCACAGTGGCATCAGGTAAGACCTGCTCTGTCTGTCTGTGAATGAATCCAGCTTAAGAACATTCTCCCGGAATGGAACTCATTTGTAACTTGGGAAAACTTGGTCCAAAATAGATTTGTTAATATTTGTTTATGCAATTTTTTGGGGGAGGGTATAAGGAATCAAACTCAGGACCTTGCACTTCCCAAGCAGGTGCTGTGCCACTGAGGTAGATCCCCTGCCCCCAAAATACTCTCAATGTAACATTAAAAGAAAATTTAAAGAATTCAGCCAACAAACACTGGGTTATTTTCCACTGTTCCAGTGCCTAATAATGAGAGGCCAAGGAAACATTTTCTGCATGAGTTGTCACAGAATCAGATTTTTGTTGTTTTGCTTTGTTCTGAGACAGGCTGACCTTCAACTTGCTAGGTAGCCCAGGCTGGCCTTGAACTCACAATCCTCCTGCCTCAGCCTGCCCTGTGCTGGTATTACAAGTGTGTGCCACCAGCCTTGGTTTGAAAGGAAATATAAAGAAACAATTTATGTTCTGGACTGCATCCCCCAGAAAAAGATATATGACATACACATATAAAATCAAGAACATTTCTGTATACCAGTAATAATAAAGACCAGAACATTCACAACAGCCACAAAAATAATAGTGATTTTATTGACGATGCATCCACAGAATTTGATCCTGAGAAATGGTGATTATAACATCACACTGATCTCACTCAAGGACCCCTCTGTCTCCACCTCTGAGCTTCCTAACAGCTACGATCTCGTCTGCCCCAGACACTTCCTTTGCGGATAGGGCAGAGCTCAGACTGCCCCAGCCACCGCTCCCAGATGAACAGCCTCCCCTCCGTGACGCCCGCAGCTAATGCATCTGAACCACAAATGGGCCCGTGCTCTTTCTAGCGTGACAGGCGGCCTGCAATTCCCAAGGGCACCTGGTATTTTCTTTCCAGATGACTGAAAAGTGCAGGATGTGTGTGCACGTGGGCACTAATGGACCTTCTGGGCAGGAGTGAGGCATCCGCTGCTGTGCTGTCCGGCCACTCCCGGGGGACTGAACCTGAGATCCCTCCCGAAGCAGCAGAGGGCCCTGCACCATCGGAAGGGATGAAGGGCCCATCCATTATCCATTATCCATTACCCACAAGGAGAAAAATTGGGCACTTTTTACAACTACTGTAGCTAAGATTCAGGAAAATTTTCAATGTCCTTAAATATTTTCTCTCATATTTATACACTGATCTCTAAGACTTGAAAGAAACGATGACCATTAGGAAAAAAAAATAAATTTTTATGCTACCAAAGCTGAAAAACAGGGAGACGCTGCCGGGGGCCTTGCCAGCAGCTGCCAGGGCACTGACACATGGGCGGCCGGCCAGGGCGTGGGCTCCAATCCCGGGAAAGTCCTTTCAGAGCGGGCGCCTGGGCCCTCAGCAGGACGCAGACCCCATCAGCCGAGCTTCTCTGCTTCTGCAGGTTATAGGCTCTTTTTGCTTCTGTTTTGAGACGGGGTCTCACTATGAGGCCAGGCTGGTACTGAACTCTCCAACCCCCTGCCTCAGTCTGGAAAGTACTGATTACAGGTGTGTCCCACCATAGCGGGGTTGGGGTTTTTTATTTTGATTTAAATTTTTAATTTTGGTTTTCCCAGGGTTTCACCAAGTAATCCTGGCTGGCCTTGACCTCACTGAGTCTCGCAGGATGGCCTCGAACTTGCAGAGATCTCCTTGTCTCAGCCTCCTGAGTGCGGGATTACAGGCCACACAGCCTTAGGGCTAATTCCTGGGAGGAAAGGCTGGCGTCACAACTACCTCAGCACCAGTCGGTCTTCGGCCTCCTTTGGGCTGTCCTGGCCTCGGTTTGAGGCTGGAAGCCACAGCACATGTTTTCTGCTCCGCAGAGCTCCTGGCCTCGCCTTGGGGCAGAGATGAAGAACAGCGCGACCTCACAGGGCGTTAATGCTGCCTCAGACCGGGACACGAAGCCTGCGAGACTCTAGGGCACCAGTGCTCTAGGAGCTCTGCCCTTAGACGCAACTCCAGGGTCGCACACACAGACAGTGACCGCTTTCTGGGGCACCTGACAGCGACACTGAGAGCGGCCACTGGCCAGCGTGCCTCGGCCCCCACAGGGCAGGACCGCAGGGCCGCCTCCCCCGCAGAGCCGGGAGACTCAGCGGAACCGAGTGCGTGGTGCAGACAGGCGGCTCCTCGGTCTCGCTGGAAGCAGGCGTCAGACTGCACCGTCCACACAGTGAGGGCAGCCGGGGGTGTCCTGGCTCCGGGCAGCGAGGTCCGCAGAGTCATCGCATGAAAGGACAGGCTCCTGGCTGCGAGGAAGGGAGCCCCTGGGGCCCTCCGAGCTGGGCCGGTGGCCGTCCCGCACAGTGAGCTCCTGGGTGGCTGTGAAGGTTAAGGGAATGAAGCCTTCCCTGTCAGCAGAAAGCAGGATCCAGTGCGAGTCTGCAAAGAATGCACGGGCAGTTTAGGGAATAAAACCAGGAACCCCAGCACTTGAGAGGCTGAGGCGTGCCTGGCTACACTCCAGTTCTAGCCTGCTCGGCCTACACAGCAAAGCTATGGCTCAAGACAGCACACCAACCAAACCACGGAAGGATGAGCTACCCATGGCCCTGCATTCCCTGCAGCTGGGGCTGAGGCAGGAGGGTAAACAGGTCAAGCCCAGCCTGCGCAATTTAAGAGACTTAGCAAGACCCTGTCTCAGAATTTTCTAAATAGGCCCAGGGTTCAATCCCCAGTTCTGCAAAAATTTAAAAAGCAGCATCAGAAAAAACATGACTAAAGAAATTTTTTTTTACCATAACATGGTAGTTGATATTGAACCTTCTCCTAAGATTTTACAGAGTACAGGAGATAAAAGAATGAAATATTACTTAGGGAAAGGTCAAGTGTGTGTGGTGGTGCACGCCTGTAATCCCAGCACTCAGGAGGCTGAAGCGTGTGAGACCAGTGTGGGATCCACAGTGAGTTCAAAGCCAGCCTGAACTATATAGCAAGACCTTGTCTCAAAAAGAAAAAACAAACAAACCAAACCACACTCAAACCTAGGATAAGGTTCGATGACCATCCTAACCCAGTCACTTGGGTACAGCTAAGGGACACTGGCGAAGCATTTATCACACCATGCTATATATAAGCTATATGAGCTGTGTGTGCACATGTGTGCCTCTGTACAGATATTACGGGTGGGTGCTAAGTTCCCCCCGCCCTGTCTCCATGTTCACTGGCTTCTCCAGAGGCTGACTGCGCCGGGAACAGTATCCTACAGAGGAACAAACACTCCTCACCCTGCACTTGGCACGAACCTGAAGACACCTTTCCAGAGGCTGTGCCCCCGTGGGCACACTCCTGGGGGCCAGGAAACATTGAGCCATTTGTTCTAGATTGACTTAGGGATCACATTCGGGCTCCTTTAAGTCTGCGTCTCACCTTTTGACCCGTGATTTCGTAGCTGAAAATCTGCACTCCCCAAAATAACATAAAAATATGCAGAGAGGTTTTTCTTGAGTTATTTATAATGGTGAGAAACTGAAAACCACCTAATTGTGACAAGGAAATTAATAGCAAAGTAAAATAGTGCATACCTCAGATTAGACTATTACCCCATTCACTTAAAATGGCGATTATAAGCAGGTGTGGTGGGCAGGCCTGTCATCCAGCACTCGGGAGGCTGAGGCAGAAGGATCACCGTGCGTTCAAGCCCAGCCTGGACTACACAGCGAGACCCCGTCTCCAAACAAACTAACAGTTATGTGCACAAGTCGGTACAGAAAGTGCCGACAGTGTGGTCCTGCTTCCCTCTGCCCCGGGCTCCATTTTAGGAGTTTCAGACCAGCCACATCCCACGTCTGAAGCCCACGGCCACCACGCACGCAGGCACATCCTGCCTGTCCCCACGCTGGCTCCAGATGACAGTGGCGGTGTCTTGGAGAATATTCTGCAGTGCTGCTGCTTTAACCTCAGCACGACAGGCAGCGGGAGGCTGCTGATTTCCCCACGCTGCCGGGTACTGCTGTGAGCTCCTCCAGCCTTTTCATCTGCACACTGCAGTATTTTCATCTCTGCTCTAAGTTCTCAAAGGGCAGAGCCCTGTTTTCCACGGCTCTGCCACCCCCAGATGGCCTGGGTGGGGCGTAGGTAATTAGTGACACTTGTCTGCTACCTGCTGAATCACTGAACCGTTTCCAGCAAACCACTGAGTGTTTGGTCCGGACTCTGGCAGTGCTGGAGAGGAAGTCCAGGCCTTCACACGGAGCTCCACCGCAGCCCCTTTCTACTGTTTACTTCAAGGCGAGGCCTCACTAAGTTACCAAGTTGCCCAGGCTGGGTGTGAGCTTGCCATCCGGCCTCAGCCTCAGAGTGCCCGTGCCCAGCTGACGGGATTCACTGGATTTATTACACGTAGACGTTGCAGAACAGAGCAGGACAGCATGCCCCGAATTTAACCTACCGTGCAGCATTTCCACAAGCGAGAGACCAAAGAGCTGCTGGATCACGCCGAGCCTCAGCTTGCCACTGCACAGAAGCACCGCTCTCTTTTCCACGGGACCCGCACAGTAAGGTTTCTTCAAATGAGAACAAAAACTACTCAGCTGATCGCAAAAACCATGGACAGCATCTTGCTATGCACTTCAAGCTGGCCTTAAACTCACTATGGAGTCTGGGGTGGACTCAGACTCACAGAAAATCCTCCTGCCTCAGCCTCACAAGTGCTGAGATTACAGGCATTGCCATCATACTCAGCTCTTTGGTTCTTTCAAAAATTTACATTCTTGAGTTAGTGAAACAATTATAGTAGTAAGAAAACAGTAATACACTTTTTTTTTTTTTTTTTGAGGCAGGGCTTTGCTTTGTAGTCTGGGGTGGCTTTGAACTCACCATGTGCCAGGGCTGGCCTCAAACTTGTGGCAGTCCTCCTGCCTCAGCCTCCCGAGTGCTGGGATTACAGGTGCGGACCACCACCCCTGGCTATCAACATCTTTTAAAACACATGTATAAACCCATGATAATCAAGTGTAAGATGGCACTGGTAACAATTTAGATAGAGATCAGCATGATAGTAGTTACAGAATCAAGAATCTAGAATTATATCTCAATATAAAGCTTAGATATGAGAAACATAAAATAAATTTAGTCAGAGAAAGGTGGATTTTTTTCTTTTCGGACAGAGTCCTGCCGTGTAGCCCAGGTTGGCCTTGAACTTGCAACAATCCTCCTGCCTCAGCCTCCCAAATGCTAGGACTACAGGCCTGCATCACCATGTCCGTCAAAGACAGATTTTTTAATAATGTTGCTAGCACAACTATCTCTTAGAAAATAGAAGTGGATCATATACAAAAATGAAACTAAAGCTCACAAATGTTTATGTATACCAGGAGCACTGTAATCTCAGGGCTGAGGGATAGGGCAAGAGGATCACAAGTCTGAGCCCCACCCAGACAACTTAGCAAGACTGTCTCAAATTAAAAACTGAAGGGGCTGGGGTGTAGCTTGTGGGGAGTGCCATGGGTTTAATCCCCAGCACCACAACGCCCTCCTCAAAACCAGAAAGCTTAAATGCAAACCTAAAACGTTGTTAAGAAAATCAAGAAGGCATATGCCCGAACTTCTGTACTACCTGAAAACCTCACATACACCGGCAACCTAAGAGGGGAAATGAACGTAGCAACTCAGTTCAGCTGGCTGAAAAGCATGACGACACACTCAAGTTCACCTTAACAGACGTGAAGAGAGACGGCGGCGGGCCGCTGTACTGGTGACGCAGGGCAGAAGGGCAGCCTTGCGTTTCTGGTGTGTGAGGCGCTGTTAGGGGAGGCAGGACACCCTGAAAGCCGCACAGATCTCATCAGAACTACACACACACACTCTTCACGCTGCACTTCTTCGGGAGCCAGCCCGACAGAAATAAGGCCTTAATCCAAACGGACGCACCAACTGTTTCAGCATCCAGCACAGTGGACGCAGTCTGCGAGGGGACAGCTGAGTGCATGGCATCTACTCAGCACGAGACGGCACTGGAGTCTGTTCCTGTAATAATGACAAACCGCTCCACCCATACCTATGGTATATAACTATGTATACAAAACTGCGTTAGACCACATGTTTACGGAGAAAAATATAGAGGGATCCAATAAGCTGCTGGTTAAAGTGGGTTCCAGGAAGGATGTGGTATGGCTGTTTGACATGAAATCCAGTAAAAACACATTTGGACTCATTTAGATAATGTTTCCCTGGAGGCACTTGCCTGTCATCCCAGCACTCAGGAGGCTGAGGCAGGAGGATTTCCATGAGTTCGAGGACACCCTGGGCCACACAGTGAGTTCAAGGCCAGACTGAACTACATAGCAAAACCCTGTCTAAAAAACAGAAATGAGGCCATGTGGGAACTTAGGACTCTGGGAAGCCAAGCATGCACCTCCCCTCCCTGGTAGGCGGTGGTGGTGTGGCAGGCTGCCACCCTTCCAGGGGAGGAACCACCTGAGATCTGCGCCATGTTGGAACTTAGGACGCTGAGAAACCAAACAACCAGCCTGCCTCCCTGCTAAGCAATAGTGAACCTACTGATGAACCTAGAGTCAAACATCCCACTTCCCCTACCCCCCTTCTCCTGTTCCTCCTGCCCCCCCCCCCCAGCAGATGGGAACCAGAAATCTTAGCGTCTCCTGGGAGGCTGACCATAGCAAATAAGGGGGACTTCCTTCTACCATCTCTTTGTTTTTCTTTTTTTTTTTGTTTTTTGTTTTTGTCTTTTTCCTTTTTATCGGTACCGGGGATCAAACTCACGACTGCCTGCTTGTAAGGCAGGCACTTAATGCCGCTGAGCTAAATCCCCAGCCCCTCTACCATCTCTTAGAAGGCAAATATTTTTATTACTGTTTTGCTCTATTCTGATTAGTGGTACTGCTCTATTCAATATTCTGTTTGATAAATTCTATAATGTTCTGTATTCTCATTTTGATATATGTGATTGAAAGAACAACTATTATAAAGATAACGAAATATTGGGGCTGGGGATTTAGCTCAGCAGCATAAGCACCTGCTTTCGATCTCCGGTACCGATTAAAAAAAAAATAATGAAATATACTGTGATACCTATTACTGTTATCCTGGTAACCTGCTGTGAAGTTATGTACCAATTTCACTGTACGATCTTAGTTGGCTTTATTCTGTCTGTTGTATTTTACCAGTTTCAAAATAAAATTTAAAAAAAAGCAAAACAGAAATGAGAGCTGGGGGTTTAGCTCAGCAGCACAAGTGCCTCTCTGGCAAGCATGAGGTGGTGAGTTCAATTCCCAGTACCAAAAAAAAAAAAAAAAAAACTAGAAACGAAGGAAGAAAGACAGACAGACAGACAGGTGGAAGCAGGGAGAGAAGAGGGAGGGAGAAAGGAAGAAAGAACAAACCTTTGCATATGCATAAACAGACGCACATAAAACATTTAAAATGAATACAAATTTCCTATATCAGAAAGAATATTTCACGTTATAAGGATAAGGTCTACACAATCAAATACCTCAACTGAAAACATACTTTTTACTGGCTGACCATGTGGCACATGCCTGTAATCCCAGCTACTTAAGAAGCTAAGGCAGGAAGACGGCAAGTTTCTAGGACTGAAAGGTCAGTTTGGGACACTCAGCAAGACCCTGCCTGAAAGCATAATTAAAAGCTCGGTGGCAAAGTGCTTACCTATCATGGGTGAGGCCCTGGTTCAAATCCCAGTATCAAAATATAAACACGTATTTTTTTCTAAATATAAATGAGTGGTCACGTTTTTCACATGACACAGTCAGGGTGTACACCGGTGTGTACCCATCCGTTGGAATGTAAACATCCAGCTGATTTGCAAGGTGTATCAGCTTGCCTGGATCTAACATTCCCAGGTCAGTAAAGCACAGCACCTCTCCTCATCAGCAAGCTTCCTGCGATGCCACAGAACGCAGAGGCTTTTACACTCCAGGTAGCTCCTTCAAGAAGTTACTCATAGCTAGGCGTGATGGTGCACACCTGTAATCCCAGCACTCGGGAGGCTGAGGCAGGAGGACTGCCATGAGTTCCAAGCAATCCTGGGCTACACAGGGAGTTCAAGGACAACCTGATTTACTTAGTGAGATCTTATCTCAAAAAGAGGGAGGGAAGGAGGGAGGAGAGGAAGGGAGGGAAGGAGGGGGAGAGAGAGAGGGAGAGAGAGAGGGAGAGATACCTGGTAAATGATGTGCACATAAGGGGGATCCTCAGACAGTGGATACACTGGAGATGACTTCTTCCTATTGTATAGAAAATCTCTGAGTTCAAAAAGACACTGCTGTATTTCAGTCACATTCCTAGATAACATTTCCAGGCCCTCAGTTAGGCGGCTAGCTTCCTTTTCCAAGCTCTCTCTTTGATGAACACTCAGAGTTTCTGGCATGCTGGGGAGTCCCGGCCGTGCTGCCTGGGCCCGGGAGGGCCTGTGCAGTGTTTCCAGGGCAACAGAACCATGCAGGCTACTGGCAGGGAGACTTTTAACTTCTTCAATGAGAGTTCTGCCAGGCTTTGCACTCAGACTGCTGGTGTCTGCTGTTAACAGGAGCACTCTGTTTTGACAACCAACACCTGGGGAAAGATTTTCAATGCGCTTTTTTCCATTTGCTTTGTTTAAATGACCACTGAGAGGAGCACCAGCACTCCGGGTGTCATCAGATGTCACTGAAGATTCTTCCAACACGACTTCTTGGAGGACCAAGCGAATTACATACTGATCCGACTCTGAGCAAGGAAGAAATGTTGCATCCGTGGACTTCGGTTTTCCCACCAAAATCAATAATAATTTGTCCGTCGTGAAAGTCATGCCTTTCGGTCTTTCATCATTCTCTAACTGAATCTGCTGGATATTTGGCATTGAAGACAGAGTGACAGAATAGATCAAAACAACATTACAAGTGTTGGAAGCCACTGCCACTACCTGTGTTTTGGGATTAAAGGCTATCAGGTCAGGAGCCAGCATGCCTGAAATAGTGACTTTTCTGGTTGTGGTAACCTCCTTCCCAAACGTCACAAGGACCAAAAGAGCAGAGTCCTGGCCAGTTCCTGCCACGTGGTCCTCTTCTCTTAGGCACATAAGCGCACTTCCCTCACACCGAGGGCCGCTGAAATGTAAGTGACTCAGATCCAGAAGACCCGACGAGGAAGGAGAAGCCGCTGTTTCAGAATCTGTTTCGCAAGCAGCGGCCTCCTCGTTCCCAGCGGCCACCTCACCCGCGGCTGGGGAAATGCGCAGCCCAGCATCTCCACCGTTAGCTGGAACAGCCGCGCTCTCAGACACAGTCAAGCTGCAGATCTTATCTAGCGGGAGCTCAGTGGTCACGGCGACCTCCGAGTCCACAGTGGCCGTGATGGAGCAGACACAGCTGTCCACGCTGAACGTGGGGCAGGCGGAGCACCTGTGAAGAGTCCGCTGTGTGCTGTCCCAGACGTAAGAATGAAGGCAGCTGCCCACCGCCACCACCAGCCTGCGGCCGTCTCGTGTCCAGCACGCACAGTGAATGCGGCCGTGGGCGCCAAGGTCCACCCTCACCCGGGTGCTGTCATGATGAACACTGGGGAAAACGGAGGCATCGCATGCTGTCAACACAGTCAGCACAGCATCTTTCGGGTGCCACACACAGCCCTGGGGAAGGACAGGGTCAGACGCTGTAATCCTGGCGGTCTGAGACATCAGCCATTTGCCTGACCCCGTGGGGGTGGGACCCAGCTGCCACACGGTCACGTGTGTCTTACCCTGGACAGCAAGCAGAGCGGGCAGGCCAGCTGCGTCCAGAGGGGCCCAGGAGACCCCCCTGACGTGCTCAAACTGACCAAGGACTGTGGAGTCCCCGAGCTTGACCTCTCCACTGTGAAGCTGTAACTCAGTCAGGACTACTTGGGTTCCATCGGTCCAGGCAAGGCCGTGGGTGGGGTGCAGGGCTCCACGCAAGGCATTCAGTCTAGTCCTGAGCAACCTGCCTTTCCCCAGCTCCATCCTTCCGTAAAGGCGACCTGAAATGATCAAGACCGGAAGCTGCACCAGGGAAAAAAATCACCAGATAAACCCAAATACGGGCCGTAGTAACAGTTAACCCTCCCAGTGAGTACTGTGGGGCCGTGAGAGGACAGGGGACTGCACCCTGAGACAACCAGGGCTGGGGTGCCAGCACACGCCTGTAACCCCAGCTACGTGGGAGGCTGAGGCAGCTCTCGAACCTTAAATCCAGCCTGGGCAAACTTAGCAAGGCCCCACCTCAAAAGAGAAAAAGGGCTAGGGACGCAGCACAGTGGTCGGCCACTTGCCTAGTTTACCTCGGACTGGGGTAAGCCCCGGCACTGGAAAAGAGAGTGCGCTACAAAGACAGAGGCGGGGACAGACAGACTACCGAGCCATTAATAGCAAACTGACTGGACCCTGAATTGAGGAAATGACATTTTCTACCATAAAGGCTATTTCTGGAACTAGCGCAGTCTGAATATGGACTATCAGAAGATGTGGTGGACCAGGGATGCGGCTCAGAGGGAGCTTACTGCTTAGCACGTACAAGGCTCTGAGCTCAATTCCCGGTACCGCGTACGTTACATGGAAAGATACTGTTGGGTCACTAATCTGAAGTGCCCTGTACGGGTTGTTTTTGCAGTGCTAGGGGATTAAAGTTCCCAGGCCTCCACCCTCCTTTCTGAGAAGGGTCTGAGTCACTAAATTACCCAAGCTGGGCTCCAATTTGCACTTATCTTGCCTCAGTTTCCCAAAGTGCTGGGATCACAGGTGTGCGACCCCAGAGTCTTTCCAGAGTGTGCGATGTCCAGAGTCTTTCCACTAAGTCACTAGGTGGCCCAAGCTGGCTTGCACTTCCTATCCTTGCGCCTCAGCCTCCCAGAGTGCGGATAAAACAGGTGTAGCCCACCTTGCCCACCACTGGGTTTATACGTCCCAGGAGACTGACCTATTAAGACACACAGAGACATATTTGGGGTCATTTCATGATGCTGCAACTTGCTTTCAAATGGGACAGCAACAGCAAGAAATTTATATAAGAAGCAGAGACAGAGTAAATGTACCAAATGTTAAGAAGTATTGAATTCATCCCAGCACTCAGGAGGCTGAGGCAGGAGGATCACTGTGAGTTTGAGGCCAGTGTGGGCTACAAACTGCGTTCAAGGCCAACTGGATCGACACAGTGAAACCCCATCTCATAAAGACAGTGCAGGGGTGGGGGAGACGGACTACTGAATTCAGATTTAGACTAATACTGTCACTTATGTTATCTTCAAGTTAGAAAAATGTTAAAAAGTTAAGAAAATCGGGCCAGGGACTTAGCTCGGTTGCCTGCCTGGCAAGTGTGAGGTCGTGAGTTCAATCCCCTGGTACCAAACAACAACAGCAAAAAGAAGTTAAGAAAATCTACGCCATTATCTAACGTCAGATCAATCAGTAGCAGATATTCACGCCTATGGCTTTACCAGCACTTATTTCTATGCCTTCTTCCAAAATGTCTTTTATCTTTTTATTGAAAGGGCACTTTAAAAAGTCATTATTTCCATTTCCATGTCCTCCTCTCCCAATAGCACTGTAAGGTTGATATGCTGTGTCAACCTGAGAAGTTTATTAGTTTAGCTGAGAGACTCAGCAGGGAGCCAGGATCCTCACTTTGTGCGTCTCCTCATCCTGTGCAGGAGGAAAGAGATTTTGTGAGTGCTGCACCCGCCCTGCGGGGTGGCAGCCGGCCTGCACTGTGAGGAGGAAAAGCGGCCTGTTCTCCCGCCTCCCTCCAGGTCGGCCCTGCTTTTGCTCCTGCTGCCCGGCTGTCTTCTGCTGCCTTGAAGCGCTGCCCCTGCGCCACCCTGCGCCACCCTGCGCCACCCTGCCTGCTTATGCACTGAAAGCTCCACAACTGTGAGCTAAGTCAACTTTGTCTTCCTAATTCTGGGTGTCAGGTATTTTGTCTCAGCAATAAGAGAAAAGTAACCAAGACAAGCACTTAAGAACTTTAAGAACATTTTTGCATTTTCTATTGTGTTCAATTTTCCTATCAATCCTTCACAATAATGTAAAGCAGGTTAGGGAATGTTACCTCGCCTTTCCTGTTCTGAAAATGTTCCCTGCTCTTCAGGGATCTGAATTCAATGACACTTAAACCAAAGGTACCCAAAGGGAAGCCAGCTTTTCTTGCATCCCGTGCCAACATTGTTTACCCACTTCTGAGAATCTCGAGGCCTTGATAAGGGCGTGGCTCACCATTCAGTATGCAACCCTCGGAACTGACTCCGACCGAAGCTTACAGGAACACGCAGTAGCTGTTTAGCGGTACTGGACTCAAACCCACGTGAGGCATCCCGGCTCCCCTCTTCTGGGTCTTGCTTTGCAGCGCAGCCTGGCCGCGAACTCACAGGGTCTTCTTACCTCACCACTTTCCACTGCCTCCCCTTTTTAAATGTTTGAGACAGTCTTGCTAAATGGCTCAGGTGGGCTCAAATTTCCCTTCCCGCCTCTGCCTCCTAGAATGCCGGCTCCACAGGTACACACGACCCTCCCAGCTTTGAGCTTTTAAAAACATGAGCACAGGTTTAGAGACACAATGCTTACATTTCTTGTGTGAAGCAGGAGCAAATCCATAGTACATCTTACCTTCTTTTTACACCCCTTGTCTCTACCTTCCTGCCCACCGTCTTTTTTTCTTTTTCTTTCTTTCTTTTTTTTTTTTTAACTTTTTAACAGTACCGGGGATCGAACTCACGACCACCTGCTTGCAAGGCAGGTGCTTATGCCGCTGAGCTAAATCCCCAGTCCCCTGCCCAACGTCTTTTGATCTCTTTCCATTTTTAGAAAGATCTCCCTGCTTCCTATCATCTTTTATGTTGCTCTTTTTTCTTTGGACAGAGTCTCATCACATAGCTCAGGCTGGTTTTGAATTCTGGCAGATCCTCCTGCCTCAGCCTCCTGAGTTGAAATTATAGGTGTGTGTCAACACACCCAGGTATATTTTGGGTTTCTTACACAAGAGAAACCATGTAATATTTAAACTCGTGTGTCTGATTTATTAAAAATACAAAACACTTCCTGAATTTGCACGTCACCCTTGCGCAGAGCCTGTGCTAATCTCTATATCGTTTTAGTTGTTGTACAGGTGCTGCCAAAGCGAGAGTGTTTTTACTTTAAACAAAGAAACGAGGTTTAAGTCAGAGTTCTTAGGTGGCAGCAACAGAAACTGCTGGCTAACATTTAGCAAAAGAAGGTGGTGGCTTAAGAACCAGGCTCAAGGCAGGCACTGTCACAGCAGAGTTTCTAAAGCCCTGCTTTGGACTGCCGCTGAGAACGGGGGCAGGTTTTCAGGAGGAGCCAGACCTAACTTCTGCCTAAATTGTGGGATCCCAGGTGCAGCAGCTCTCAGGGGCTCCTGGAGATCCGGACAGCACAAAGAACACAGGCGCGAGGAGAGCTTGCCCGTGTGGCTCTGCTCCCGACAGCCCGCCCTGCATCCTCCGGGGTGCACTTTTTACCTTGCTTTTGGCCTTTCCCTTGGCCCAAGCTCACTCTAAAAAGCCAGTTTCCCCTTCACTCTTCACTTGTGCCTTTTTTCAAATAAACTTTGCTACCGCTTTTTGCCCATTTCATTCAATTCTTTGTTCCAAAGGACCTGGAACCCAACTCCAGAAGGGGAGGCCAGCAACCCAAACCCGGTAACGTTTAACTGCCGAGCCACCTGGAGTGGGAACTACCTGATGACACACGTCCAGCCGGCCTGCAATCTCAGCACAGGAGGAGACAAGCCCGGGACCAAAACAAAACTAAACCAAACCAGAGCTCAGAGACACAAAGTAGGAGAAAGTGGCTGCCAGGCCAGGGCTGGCTGGAGCGGAAAGCCCTGGCCCTCCTGTTTCAGGAAGTGCGGAGCTCCCGTTTTTCTCTCTGCCCAGTACCAGGATTGAGACTACGAAGTGCTGAGCTACATCCCCAGCCCTTGTGGATTTTGAGACAGGCTCTCACTATTCCCCAGGCTGCCGTCACAGCTGCCACTTCTGCCTCAGCCTCCTCAGTAGCTGGGCCGCGTGTGAACCACCACAGCACAGCGCTGCAGTTTTGTAAGATGAAAAGAACTGCGGAGACAGAGGGCAGTGACGAGCGGGCAACAGGAGGGATACACCTTGTTTCCTCATCATGAATATCCTTGCCAGCACTGAGCTGTGCACCTGAAGCTGGTGAAACCTGGGCACAGCTGCACACGCCTGTATCCCCGCTGCTCGGCAGGTGAGGCAGGAGGACTGCAAGGATATAGCTCGGGCTGGGGATTTAGCTCAGCGGCATAGTATCTGACTTGCAAGCAGGCGGTCGTGACTTCGATCCCCACCGATAAAAAGAAAACAAAATAAAATAAAAAAACTAACAAGCAAGGATATAGCTCAGCAGTGGACCACCGCGGGTTAGATCACTAGCGTAAGGTGCAGGAACCAAGTGAGGCCGGGTGGAGCGAGCCACCACTGCCACTACTGAGAAATGGCATCCTGCCCTTCACTTGCTGGCACAGGCTGGAGACGCAGACCCCGGGGAGGCCTCTCGTTGGCTGGGCCTTGCCACGCCCTGGCTGGCAGGAGGAGGGCTGAGGGAAGGCTCCCCCACCAAGGCTGCCAGGACTGGGAACAGACACTGCCTCTCATGCACAGCGATGTCTTTCCCAAAGGGGTTTTCAGAACATGACCTGGTCACCACAGGAATCACAGTATGTATTTTTCTTTTTCTTTTTTTAACCAGGAATCAAACTCAGGACCTTGTGCTTGCCAGGAAGGCACTGTTTTGCTGAGCTATGTCCTTGGCTCTGTATTTTTTACACGTTGTTTTAAATCATGGTTCCTTTCCCAAGACAGTAACACTCATCTCCCTTAAACTTTTAAGCAGTTGCACTGGAAGCCCAAACAGCTGGACCATCACTGATCCTGTGATCCCCCACAGGCAGGAATTCGGCGTACTTCCAGTGATGGTTTAGATGAGGACAGAACCACAGGTTTGGTGCTCG